GATTTTTTGGACTCGACTCAGGGACTCAGTGAAGGGAAACAAGACGCTTCTGTTAGAATGTTAATGCATTTTTTGGCCGTTTAGAAGTTCGTCAAATTAAGAGTCTTTTTTTTTCTTGAATCCATCTTTAGGGACTGGCACGTGTTTGTATACGTCACCCGTTTCTCAGGCAGGGAAGTAACAAAAAGTCGGATACCACACTAATAAGCATGAAACACTGCTAATACTGCCCTCACACATACCTCGCGACCTTACTGCGACCTTTACTGCGACCTTGCTACGACCCAGGACGCAGCACAGTCGCCATGGACGCAGCAGGGACGCAGCGAGGTCGTAACGCAGGAACCCAAGGACGCACAAGGTCGCAGACCGTCGGCGACTATTTTGAACATGCACAAAACAGTCGCAGAAAACTCTGCGTTCTTGCTGAGTCCTGGTTAGGTCGCCGTGGGATCGCAGTGGAGTCGCCATAGTCGCAGCAGCATCGTAGTAAGGACGCAATAAGAACGCAATAGACGTAGTACACTCGTACTAAGGACGCCGTAAGGTCAGACTCAGAATGAAATTTACTGTAAAAGTATTGTTTTATAGACTAGCAAGAACTTAGTAGGGTCGTCGTACAGTCGCAGGACAGTCGCCGGATAAACGCAATAGTCGTCGTAGAGTCGTCGTAAGGACGCAGAGAACATAGCACAGTCGCAGCTGGGTCGCCGATGATCGCCGTGGGGTCGCCTTGGGGACGCAATACAGTCGCAGTGGAAACGCCATGGACGTAGAAGGGTCTTATTGAGGACATAGAGAAAACGTACTGAACACAAGACTGCAGAGCCCCGGACCGTCTGCGAGAGAAATTTGAAAGAAAACCAATGATTTTCGAAAGAAAAATGCTATTTTAACTAGTTTTCAGGTCGCAGTAAGGTCGTGGTTTATGTGTGAGGGCACCTTAAGTTAATGTTTTCGTGCTCAAAAAAAGTCCGTAAGTTAGATGGTGTTTCGTTTAGAAGAACCCACAGTCCTGATGTTGTCTCGTTGATTTTTGTCAGAGCCTTCGAGACAAATGGTTATTGGCCACCCAGGGCTCGAGCTCGGCTGAGGGCTCGAGCTCAGTGAAGAAGAGAACAAGGAGACCGAACTCCTTTGATTTGAGACCACATCAGCAGTCCAAATTGTCAAGGTCACAGTTTGATGTCATTATGTGATGCATTTATAGTCATATCAAGTCTATATTTTTGTCATTCATTAGTTTAGCTTAAATATTTGGGACTTTAAAAATAACGTGAATAAAGTAAGAATTAATTCAGAATCTCACTTTGAAATTAAATATAATATTTTTGAGCCGCGTCACGACAAAACCAACATAATGGGTTTGCGACCAGCATGGATCCAGACCAGCCTGCGCATCCGCACAGTCTGATCAGGATCCACGCTTTTCGCTTACAAACCTTATTACAAGTAGAGAACCTGATAGCGAACATCATGAATCCTGACCAGACTGCGCGGATGAAAATGTCTTAAATGTTTGTTTATACTAAATTTTTATTTTTTAACTTTTGTTTGACAATAACTGTAAATTTCAGAGACTCCTATACTATTGTGATGTGTATAAAACTTATGTATACATGGATGAGACATAAATGTAAACAAACTTTTAAATATCAATCCAAATAGATGAAATTCGATTGTACAAAACGCATGATACTGGTCAATTTTTTAAGGCAAAAAACAATAGTTAGAAAATGTTAAATTTGATTAGTATTTTTTTTATTTATTTTTTTTTAAAAGTATTAAAATAGTATATGAAGTTAAACCCTGTATTACGAAAGCAACTTTTTTCTAAAAAAATATTGAAGAATCTTAAAGAAAACCATGCTTTGGAAGTGTTAAAGTGTTTGTAAAATTATCAGTTGAATGGCCGATAACGTAGAAAATTATATTCATGCTTCAAGATTATAAGGATTGTCAATCATGGACTACCTTATCAAAATTCTAGTTGGATTTTATGTTAAAAATACAAAGCTTAACCATATAAACATTATTAACGCATGGCATAAAGTGATGACAATATCACAATGCGGTAATTAAACTAGAATGTTGCAAATTTAGGATGACGATTTTAGTAAATTCAGGTTAAGTACTATTTACCTATCTTAAGTACTTGGTTGATCTTTTGAAGTACAGGTGATAATCACTATAGAAAAAGTTGTTATAAAACTTCGACACATTTGCTTCATTAATTCCATTATTCGTCTCAAGATGTCTTCTAAAGCATCTGAGAGGAGCGGTTATTTTGTTAAAAATATAGTTTTGTTCATTAGGTATAAAGAGTTTAAAACATGATCTTGGAATGTTTCAAATAGTTTTTAAAAGGTAAGAAAATTTTGAATAAGCTTCTGATCAATTACACCTCTACTTCACACTAAGTTAAAATTTGACTGTGGTTATTTTTTACAATAATTTAACTTAATTAATCGCTTCTCTAATATAAAAATTTGTGTGATTAGAGTATAGTTTGAATCTACTAACCTGTTGCTTGCTGTTTCGCAACCATATAGACTCGTAATATATGATACACATTTAATATTTAATGCTTTAACCGACGTAAAAACACATTTGCGGATGTTTCTTAATTAAAATTTTTTCTTTATTCACCATTTTCATGTTTAATGTTGAATTCTGCTTACAATGGTGTTAGGAGGCGTGGACAGTAACTTGCACTTTCCGGTACTGTCCATGAACAGGCTCAATCAAAACGAGTCTGCAATATTTTCAATTTTGTAGTTTTGGGCGTTTTCATTTTATTTTACACAAATACCTATATTTGTCTTTTTCAAAACGTCTAATTTGTCATTACACGTTCCGTTCTATCACCAGTTATAACAAAACTGACGAAAAGAAAAAACATTTTGAAAGATGTTTACATGTATATAAAACACAATTTATTTTTATGTAATGTATGTATAATAAACATCAACCACATCATATGTGATAATAGTTTTAACCCTAGCACCAATAAATTTCAAAATTATCTCCCCACGAACATATCTTTTTCCTTAAAAAATTACTTTTTACTATAACTGCTATATTTCTTAAACTTCATATGATAAATGTTTGTTATCATCAACCACATGATGTGTGACAAGATTCATAACTCTAGCACATTTTTTTCCTGAATTATCCCCTTTAAACTTTAGACATTATGTTATAAAACTATAACTTCTTCATTTCTTACGATATCTACTTCAGACTCTAAATATTTGTTACTTATTATCACCTACATCATGTATGACAAGATTCATAACTCTAGCATGAATATTTCTAGAATTAATTCCCCCATTGAACTTGATTTTTTTACAAAATTTGTTATTTTTGCTCTAACTTCTTTATTTTTCGAAGGATTTACTCTAAACTATACATTTAAATTTCACTTCCCATATAATAATCATTTGACAAGGCTCATAACTCTAGCGTCAATATTTTTTCGAAGTACTTTCCTAAAAACTTGGAATTTTCCTTATTTTTCTGTAACTTCTTTACTGCTTGAGACTATGTTAGTTAAGAAAGTTTGGAAAAACGTGTAAGATAGCAATTTATTTTATAGTGAAACAATGAATAAAATCACGGATAAGTTTGACCATTTAAAACTGGTGCTTGTGCAAGCCCACACTCATTATCAGAATTGCAAAAGTCTGCAAAACACTATGAAGTATCTTCGTCTCGAAGTATGAGAAATAATAATATTGTAATGTTTTCTTGAATAAAAGAAGATGTAAATAGAATGGCGGAAACATAGAATCAATTTTGCGCAAGTTGATGATCAGCCAGATGAAGCTGGCAATGAATTATTTAAGATTGAGTGCGTGCATCGCATGGGAGACATACATGCTTACTCTGCTGTTGTTAGATTTAAAAAAATCACTAACAAGAACGGAAAATAATGCGGCATGTCAGTCTTGTTTTGAAAAGAAAATAGAAAAAAACAGCGTTTATATTAATGAGCAATTCCCGAAAGATGTATTAGACCGAAGGAAATCACTTCTCTCAAAATTATGTGAAACACATGCTGCAAACAAGAAGGCTTTGTTAAGCTATAATAAACTTTTTGCCAACAGAAAACAAGTGCGATCCAAACAGCACCGTTATGTTATGTTATGTTATGTTATGTATTGTTATGTTATATGTTATGACCGTTATGTTACGTTACGTATGCATGCTAATGGTGAATTTGGGGGTTACACATGGTGTATAAATAGATATATGTGCAAAAATGTTTTGACTTCTTATATATGAGATGCAAAAATGTATAATATTCTAGTAATTGTATGGTTAATAGAAATAACTGGGCCTATCAATTCCTTTTAGATTGTTATGGTTTCTCATATGTTTTGAACAATGCTTTCTGTGTTGGCTAAAATAAGTGCCATCTAGCATTTTTAAAGGAAGTGTAATAGATACATTTAATTATAACTTGGTATCAACGGTTAGAGGGACGTGGAACACCGGATATATACAACTTCTTTTGGGTTTGAAAAATATCTAGATATATTAGCGTTTGGTCTGTGCTTAGACTATCATCGCACAACTTACCTATACGAGTACAAGCACGTCACTGTACCTTTCTTTGGAGTCTAAATATTTTAACTTGAACCTTTCAAACAATGACAGCAAGTATATTTGTTTGTATACGGTGATATTCATGTGTATTACAAACTAGAGATTTTTTATGTAAAAACTATTTCGATAATCCACAATAAGCATATAAAAGCAACAAAATTTCACCTTTTATAGATTCTCTGAAAATATTCCATAAGATATAATTTTATACCTTTAAAATGAATTTTTATTCATAAAGATTGATCATTCGACGTCGACTTAAACAATCTTGAATGTATCTGATACGTTATGGTGACTAACAAACTCTTATTTCCTGGAAATTTTCAACAATTTGAATTCTACATTTTTTATCTTTATTAATTCTGACATCTTTCTCATTGAAGCTGAAGAATACAAAACATGGTTTCAATGATAATTATTTATCTTGCAATTTGGACAAGAGTTGCTGTGGAAATGGCGAGCGACGGAGCAAAAGAGAGCGCATGCGCAAGTATGTTTCCAATGCATTATGCAGAAGAACAATTGAGAGCGCCGCCATATGAACTTCAGGTGTCATCTACTACTTACAGACCTTCATCAAATATTTCAGGTTTGTTAACCTATATAATTACGCGCAACTTAAATAGTTTCCTTTGTGGATTCACCTTTAAAACTTTAAAAGGATTATAAAACCCTATAGGAATTGATCGGAATCAGTTTTATCGTCACTTTTATAGAAAGTACACCTCCTAGACTATCTTTTATACACGCATGCCCCTTTTCATAGAATTAAGAATGGGACATTTGTTTCAACAACTACTACTAGCACACGTGTGTTTTGCATCTAAATCTTAAAGACTTAAACTAAAAGAATCCTCAAAAATATATGAATATATATATATATAATATATATATATAATATATATATATATATATATATATTTACACATATCTTCACTTACGGGCCCATATATAAGACCGAGTTGAGTGGCATTATTTCATGCAGTCAGTTTTTATATACGCCACTATATAGGCCTATATTGTGGGACATATATCATTTACTACTAAAACCGGCCTACGGGCACTATGTTAGAAGGGTAGCCTACGCCCCTATACATCGTTTAAAACATGCCGGATGATAGTCTATTTGTGACCATACTTGTGGGGTGTATATTTAATGTGGGGCATATATAAGGCCTCGCAACTCTGGCATGTTTAAAACGATGTATGGGGGCGTAGGCTACCCTTCTAACATAGTGCCCGTAGGCCGGTTTTAGTAGTAAATGATATATGTCCCACAAATGTATATATTTATTATGGGGTTTTATGTTATTAGTCAATATGTTTTCACCTATGGTAAAATCAAATATATAGTTTATATATATAAATTAGTACCCCTTAGTTCTGTTGTATGGAAATGTTCATTATAGGCCTATATAGTGGCATATATAAAAACTGACTGCATGAAATAATGCCACTCAACTCGGTCTTATATATGGGCCCCGTAAGTGAAGATATGTGTGAATATATATATATATATATATATATATATATATATATATATATATATATATATATATATATATATATATAATATATATATATAAAGACATCTTGAATTAAGTTTTTAGAAATGTATATGTAACAAAATAGAAATCAGTTAACTATATACATGTACGGGTATCCAAAAAATTAGTGCCTGAAAAAAGGAGTTATCAACTTAATTACGTTTAAAAACAAAATACTTCTTTTAACAGAATTTAATATGCATGTTATTTTCAGTACTGCTCAGGTCCAATGAAATAACGGGCTTTAAAGGATTTTTGTGTCAACCAAGACATGACTTAGATAAGTATATAACGTTTGGAAAACTGACACCAAGTGGAGATGTAAGCATGACAAATAACTGTAAACAGGTAAGTTTTGGTTTTATGGGACTCCACTAAAACATTTTGACATGTACCATTTAATAAATGTCTGTGTGAAAAATATCAGTTCATTCTCTCACACAGTATTCCGAAAATAATAATTTTTTGTGCAAAAAGTAACCAAAAAAAAAAATGAAAAGAATTGTGACGCTTTTCGCTCAAACCTGACTACAATTGTGCAAAAAACACCTCAAGGTATATTTCTACATTATCTTTAAAGATATTTTCCATTTTCACGTGCATCCCTTGATCTATGTAATAAGTTCAAATTTTATGTTTTTTATGTTTTAGACCTCATTGGGACACCTTTGAAATATTTAAAATAGGATGCTTATACTATACCTAAAAATTTTATTTTGGTAGTAAGATTTGTTAGTACATAAAAGAAGGAAAAAAAATTGTTTGTTGTGATATTTATATTAAATACCTAATATAACGTTTGAGTACAACATTTTTGCCATGGAAATTATTAATAAGTTTGTCATAAAAATTATCAAAAGTGTAAAAATAATGTTTAAACACACTTGTGTTGTTTTGATCTACAGGCAGCGTCACTTACCCATACAAATGCCAGCAGAAAATCATCTATTAGCTTCACATGGACAGCACCAGCAGTAAATTCTGGAAACATCGTAATCATGTATGTTTGAACTGAACAATTTACTTATAAAATAAAGTTATCTCTATTATCTATATCACATTGCTTTATTACAACATATATAATTGAAGTATTTGTGATTAGATTAGTCTTATTATTATTGCTTCTGTTTCTAAGTAACAATATGTATGTATATTCAAATTAAAAAAAATGTAATATGGAATTTTAAAGCAAACTTTAAAAAATCATGTATATATAAAGCTTGCTTAAATATCAATATTAATCATAAAGAGACGATGACCTCGCAAATACAAATGTTTCAAACTTTCTTTTCTTTGCTTAGAAACACTGGCATTTCATGCCTTATACATGTAATAGAAATTTTCATGTTTTACTTTTTTAACGTTGTCATTCTAATTCAAAAAATTACAGATGCACAGTTGTTCAGCAGTTTAATACATTTTGGACGAATATAACTTCACCTGTTATATCATTTTCTGATACCATTTCAACAAAAAGTAGTTCGTTTACGACTTCTTCGTTATCAATCTCTACAAACAAGACAATGTCAACGCTTAGTTCACTACTCACGGATAATACGATTATTACAAATGAAAGTGTTTCAATAACCTCTTCACATCCAGTAACTACACAAACAATGGACAGTACATCTTTTTTACCAACTGTGGTTGTTAATAAAACGACAAATATTCCAACATTGACGACTGGTGAAATCAGCTCCGCAAACGTTCCTAGTTTAGTTCATTGTAATATATTCTGTGCCGTGTTTTACATTTTCAAGAATATTCTCAACTGAACCATATATAGATTTGTTCGACAAATGAAATGTGATGGCAATTATATGAATTAGGCCCTATCACCATCTTTTTATATTTATATTTAGATTATTTGTTAATGTTCATATGTGTTATGATAGTTATTGCTATTATTATTGTTTTACTATCTTTATAGTTATGCAGTTACAAACTTTGCTAGATAAACTATCATAAGTGCCTAAAAATTTAAATTCCTGAAGACTTTCCGACTTAATAATATCTGTCATATGTTGTGGTTCGGACCGGAATATCCGTCCCGAGGGGACCCGCCCATTTGGCGGTAACGAGGCTTGCCGAGTTACCGCCCATCGGCTGGTTCCCGAGGGGCGGATATTCCGTTCCGAACCGCAAACATAATATGTCAGATATTTTTTCTTGCATATTCTGCCATATTATTTCATATTTAAAATGGTTTACCTCAATACGGTATATGTTCATGGAAATTAAAGTCATTTCATCCATAACTATTTTCTTACAATAGCGTATGAACTTACAACTTTAATAACAACGGCGAAATGACGTCATCCTAAGCACATATTTCCCTTCTAAAACGACGTCATTTTAACGCGGTTCATTCATAAAGTGCGCTAAAAATGACGTTGTTGTTTGGCACGCGGCTCATCTGGCACCCCCATGCCAGATGAAATTTCCGGCATGGGTAAAACTAACGGAAACGTCGGTCTGCTATGCAAGAAAGAACGTTCCGTTAAAGCAATAGAGAAAAGATCTTATTGAGCTTATGTTAACACTAAGTAATCATGAACACTTCCTACTTGTTTGCCGCTATTTCATTTTCCTTCAACCATTTCCTACATGTTACTGTTATAAAATAAAATGTACTATCAAATTGTTTTTTTTTTAATATTTATTTATTATTACTTATGTTAGCTGTTTCTTTAAAGTGAATTGGTCTAGGAAGGTCTGTAATACCACAAATAATTGTCTTGATCAACTTACGTATTATAGGTGACAGCAAAACATGAAATGATATTATACAGATGTTGTTTTTAGATACAATTTTTCATATCTATGTATAGCAGAAATAAATTGTTCACGAACAAAGTATTATTATTCATCATATATAGTTTTTATATGAATATCCAAATGATACATTTTTATTGATTTTATCAATATTTAAAATACCTATAGAAAATGTGTCCACTAAAGACCAATCCACTTTAACGTGTATGTGCACAACTTAACAATTTAATATTATCTTATCATTAAAAATGTGTTTAATTAAAATGCATTCCAGCTGATTATAATGCACGTTGAAAGGCAAGATGGCGCATCAGATAATCTATTTAGAATAACATGTTTGGTTGAATGTCATGTTGAAGTGATATAATCCCGGTATCAAGAGTAAAACATCTCGGTCACAATTTCCCCTGTTATTTAAATAAAATACATGACAATGAGATTGCTAAACTTTGGACATCTGATATCTATAACTACGAATAACAGGACATTTGTGCTAACAACAAATAAGCTGTGCTAAAATGCGATTATTTGATGATGTTTCAGCAAAAAAAAAATGATAAAAAAAGACTTTACACACTAATTATTTCTTACTCAAATATCATTATTCGCTTAATTCCTGTGCAATTTAACGTGCCTTTCTTAAAAGATCTTGTCTATCATTTTTGATCACATTTTAAAGAATATGACATCTCTCCAGAACATCTCTTTACGCTTTCAAGAAAATTGTTACAATAAAATCTTATATAATGTATAAGCTAAAATCGCTAAAGAATTGTTCGTCATTGAAACATCTTTTCAAACTTTCTGTCAGTGATGAGTTAAAACCTTGCCTGGTCGTATTGCCAGTGATCTGAAAATATATAACATCACAGTAGTTAATATATCGTTAGTAATAACCTAAATAAACATCACATGGTAATAACCATACGTTATGAAATAGTGTACATTTGAAACGAAATCTAAATCTTCATCACAGCATATCAGTTTACAAATGTAGCTGTACAATACTATCAATTTCTGTAAGAATAGAACAATATATCTAATGTTAAATTATTAGGTCTTTCAAATGTATAATGTCACATAGATTACATTGGGGACAAAATAAGTATATATATTGCTAATACAACTGACCATAACCTAATATATTGTCAGAGGCCTGAAAAACATCTCGTCATGTACTCTCAAAAGACGCAATTATTTTCAACCCTCAATAAAACGGCCAAAAACTTTTTGCTTAGGCTGCATATACGAAGCTGAATACAAACTAAGTCAATGCTTTATCAATAATTTTAATTTCCAGCTTTGTGTCATATTTGCATTGTTTACAAGTTTATTTTGTAGGTGTTTTTTAATACTGCCCCCCCCCCCCCAATTCAAAAGAAAAACAACAAGATTTGCGTTTGAAGCTTGTATCAATTATTTAAAACGATAATAAAAATATATGTTAAATCAGTCATAAAGATATGTAATATGATCAGCTGATGTATGGAATATGAGTGTTGAAACTTTGATTGCTGTTGAGCCAACTCAGGGTAATATGCTTAGACATAATTATCTAGATGTGTTTGACAAATAATCATGACCAATGATTGCACAGTGGTTTAGAAATTACGACTATGCTTCCCAGGTTGACGAGGCCGACGTACACAGGGCACGTTAAATGGAACTTAAATTACAAAACATGATATGAACATAACTTCACTATATGTTTAGTTTCAACTCCAGCTTTACCATCGAAAACCTTTGGTAACATTGACAGAACTTTTGAAATGCATCCATGCTCGAGTTCAGCTAATAACCAAACTTACGCATACTTCATGAATTATACTATTGCAAAGTACTCAATGTATTTCACATTTCCACATGAAAGGAAACAATTGTTAAGAACGAAATGAAGTCGCCAAAATATTGAAATCAGATTATTATTTTTAATCTTACAATGACCCGATATCGCTTACGTCATTGTCCGCCAATAAAAAAGATGCATTATTACTCTCAGTGTGATTATTATAAATTTATTTCCCCATAAAAGCATCTAAAAAGAAAAATCATATCTTTTCATAATACTTTTAAACTTTTGCGTGTGTAAGTTAATTTGATGATAAAGCAAATTTGCAACAAAATGATGCTAAAATTGATAGTTAAATACATACGTTTGTCACCAGGAGGACGTCGAACTGAAAATCAAAATGATATTTTGAAAATATTGATCAATTACTGCTGAAGTTTTGATCGCTTATCTGGAAATTTGTTTAAACAGAATAAAAGCAATGAACAACTTAGGCGTGTATCAAATAAAATAAAATAAAGCTTTTCTATAAATATCCCGATTCCCTAGGCCAAAATTAATTTATAATTGCAATGTTACTTAAAAAACTGCAGATATTTTAAAATTGAATTATTATATATATTACCGCTGACAAGTTCTGCCTTCCTTGGTCGCTGGCGTACTTCCTGTCTTGGTGGTGAATATCCTCGCTCGTACCTAGGTCTTCCATTATAGCTATAAAGCATAAACATACATTGATAAAACATTATGTTCTATTAAGTATAGGCATTTTAGCATTCTCTGTATAATATGGAAGTGCGATTTGATAAGAAACTAGTTGATGGCTCCTAGAATATGGATATTGGGCTTGCGAATGCGAGATGGTCAGATTATAGTTATAACCGTATTTTTAATACAAAGATGTTTTTTTCTTTTACAAATGCCCGAAAACTTAAGACTCCCAAGAATGCACCAGTAGTTCTATTATTTTTACAGAACCACTGCAATTATGAACCTTAGACTTCATTTGCATGGATCCAGACCAGCCTGCGCACCCGCGCAGTCTGATCAGGATCCATGCTGTTCGCTTACCAACCCTATTACAAGTAGAGAAACTGATAGCGAACAGGATGAATCCTGATCAGACTACGAGGATGCGCAGGCTGGTCTGGATCCATGCTGACCGCAAACGCACTATGTTGGTTTTGTCATGACGCGGCTCAAATAAGTATTGCGCATAGAAAGAAGGTATCAAAGTGTCGGGGAGAGAAAGAGAATTATCATTTGTATCCTCAAATTCTAAAGAAAAAAAAATAGAAAGAAAATAAAGGATAAGACCGAATTAAAAAAAACGATTTCCCTCCAATCCTTCTAATCTAAAAACGCTGCATATTACAGTCTCTGAAATTGAAATTCTCAAACAGAAAACTTCACCCATTTTTTAATGTTTTTTTTTCTTTTTTGTTGTTTTTTCCTCAAGAATATTTGGGCAGTATAAAGTTGTATTGCTTATCTTTAAAAGTATTTAGGTGCAACTCTTGACAAAAAATCTATCTTTTGAGGTCATGACACAAAGCATTTTTCAAAAGGCATATGCCAGGTTAAAGTTTCTTTACGGAAAAAGGAATTACCTTACCCAACATACTAAACAGTTATTGATTATGTCTTTAATACAGTGTCATTTTTACTATACATGTTCACTCTATTATCATGGGTCAACAAAGGTTTTGAAAAACAAGCTCCAAACATCACACAACAAGTTAATGAGATAACTGTTGGAATTGTTTTTGTGAAAGTTTTGATACCACAGTATTTTGCTTTCCTGATTAAAACTTTTAAACATGAACTACATGTATGTTGTACTTATTATTGTTATTCACACAAAACTTCAACATTCATATCAATCCTATTGAGCAGACGACTTCTAGATCAGCTTGAGGTTAGTACAAGCCCAAATATATTCCGTATTATACAGAAAACTGTTCTATTTTTCAATGATAAACATGTACAGGACACCGCATTTTTTCATAGGGATTATTTCCATATACTTTGTGCTTTATTGCGAAGGTTGCATAAAGCGAATAAGGAGAATGTGTATTTTGTAAGTAATTGTTTTCATGTACAAAGACTTGAATAATTTCACAAGGCCACGTGTATTATCTCCTTTATCTTGTATCAAAATCCAGAATATTCTTATTTCGGTACGAATAGTTTAAATACAATTTAATAAAGGTACGAACCGTCTACTGCCTCCTGTACAAGGCATCTTGCAGTTTGTGGGGCTCATACAAATGTACTTCATGCAGACAAACAACGTCACAATAAGAGTGACAGCCAACAGTATCATAAGTATACTGAACCAAACAAGGTTTCTTGTGTCATCAAAGAACGTTTTGTACCTGTATATACAATAAAAAGGATATTCCATTATATTAGAACAAGTTAATTTGTGAAGAAAACATAATCTACTGATGAAAAATTGTTTTAATTCCGTCTTAGGATTTGTTATGAACCTTAATATGAGTTATGTTAAGAAGCATTTTGTATATAAGATTTTGTACTTTGTTTGTAGATATGAGTTGCATTATTATGAGACTGCTAGAGCAACGCAGCATAGTGAAAAAAATGGACATGTTCAATAACACACCATTTCTATCGGTGAAGAAGCGGGGCTTTTATAAAAAGACTCTTCGAATCTTGAATTTTCAAAAATGAGAAGTCGTAGTTTCGTGATTTCGACTTTTTCACCATCGAACTTTCGGCTTTTCATTATCATGGTTTCGACATTTCATCATCTTAGTTCGTATTTTTACCGTCCGTACATTCTACTTTTCACAATCTAACTATAGATTTTTTTGCCCTCCTGTTAAGCATGCACATTGAATGACAATACTTTATGTGCTATCATCATGATCCAGATCCATCAACATTATTATTTCTTTGCACTTGGTAAAAGTATTATTTTCTTATATCGTCATACATTGTTATAATCTCTGATCGTATGTCAGACAGGAAAGCGAAACCACGATGGTGAAAGTCGAAAGTACGACGGTAAAAACACGAAATTACATCGAGTTTTTATCATCGTAGACATTATTTCAATTTTTACCATCGTACTATTGACTTTTTTTCATCGTATACCTTTTCAACATCGTAATTTCGTGTTATGTGTGTGAGACACCGAAGTTTTTTATGTTTTTATAGAAAGTATATCAACTTTACAGTAATGAGCTTTTCTTTTTTTTATTTTTTTTTATTATTATTTTTTTAAATTTTCTACCTGTCAGTGAATGGTGCTGTCGTAGTCGTTTGCGTGACTGTAATATGGACTGTAGATGTCCCAACCAGGCCGCCAGTATCGGTTGCTAGCACCGGAAATGAGAATGTACTGCCCGAGCATGCGCAGGTGCTCATAGACACCAGTGTACTAATCTCACCAGAACTGCCATCAATCTTAAATGCATAACTATACATATATGCATTTTGTTACATATTGACATTTAATTATAAAATAACAAGAATAAAGATCAACAAGGCAAAGGCCGTAAATTCTGCTAGAAAAGATTTCGATAATGCCTTTAACATAATTGCCTTTGAGTATGCAAACAGTTCTTTTCAGTATATATTTCTTTAATTGATAGCTTTGCCGATTGCTTTTATTTAATCTAACATACTAAACAATTTTATATTGGAAGTTGATATCTTATAAAAGTTGTTACAATATCAACAAAAATATTTTTTTACAAAATTTCGTACTTCTGTCAACTTTTATAAATTATTATTTGCACTTGTTTATCTATTGATAAAATCATTTCAAGTTATTCAATAATGTATCAAATTACTGGAGCATTAAAAAATCCCAAAATGGCTTTGAGATTAAAAACTCCTCAATTAAAAAATCATTATTGTAAGGTTTCCTTTAATTTTAGGGGTACAATTTCTTTATGTCGCTGTTTTAATGATAATGTTTCTAATTTAGAGGCGTCTGAGATCACACAGCTAGATCTATTAACATTATTAATAGTATCAAAGCAGTTTTACATGTTGTATCATATAAAACTATTCATTACACTCTGTTTAAAAATATAAAACATATTCAACACAATACCTTAAAATATGTAGCATTTAAAGCTGTTTGATCGAGGGAATATGAAAAAGTCGCGTATGATACTAGGTCGTCGTCAGTGGCTGCAACTGTTCCAATTGATGTATCCGCCACGGCGGCTGGGTCAACAGCAAAGACATAGTTTGTATTTGAGAAAGTAGGTGTGAAGTTGTTGTCGTAACCTGTGAATAGATAAAGAATTTCATCAGAATCCCTTGAATTGACATGTGGCAACAGCCATTGAGCATATACTTTAATCATTAGCTAACTTGAAACTTGAGGCTTTTGTGTAGTAAAATTTAGAACTGAGGGATGTGATTATTACGAGATTTACTAGCAATTTATGAATATCTTTTTACATTTATATTGAAACAAATTCATTTTTAAACTTATTCTGTTAGTTTAACGACCATCATATATTACTAATTTTATTTATAAGAATATCGTTGACAGTCATCTTTAATTTTAACATACCATTTGAAAACTTTTTATATCTACAGGATTATTTCAAATATTTAAAGTACACTGCTACTTATAGTTAAATATGAAAACAGAAATAATTGTTGATAAAGTTTACACACTGTAATCAGATTTCACAAGTAGCTTCTACCATCTGTCGAACCAAAGTAATGGAAAGCGATTTATTTTCGTTTGTTTTGTTTTGTTTATATCTTAACAGATTAATTCTTTTTAATTTTATTTTTGTGCGCATCAGAAACAAATATAACAAATATAGCAGCACCAAACATCATTGTGTATTGGTACGCGGATGCATTATTATTGTTATTTCTGTGCGTGGTCAATGCAACAGGTGACGACTATATAAGAAGGCAATTTCTCCACTTCTAATACTGAGAAATCACTAGGAAAGAATTCTATAGAAAAAAGAAAATAATTACGAAAAATAAAGTTGTGAATAAAAAACAAGAAATTGATAACACATTAAAGCGATCAAAGATGAAGCAAACTTAGGAAAGATTTTTGGACCTAAATAGCCTATACAATTTGTACCTGGATTTTCTTGCCATTAAAGATATGGCATGAGGTAAGATTTAATATAAAAATTAACACTTTGAGTGATTATAAATGATATCTATATTTCACTGACTCACAGCAATTGATTATAAATGATATCAATATTTCAATGACTTACTGATAGTGATAATAAATGATATCAATATTTCAATGACTTACTGCAATTGATAATTAATGATATCAATATTTCACTGACTAACTGCAATTGATAATAAATGATATCAATATTTCACTGACTTACTGCAATTGATAAAAAATGATATCAATATTTCACTAACTTACTGATAGTGAAAATAAATGATATCAATATTTCACTGACTTACTGCAATTGATAATAAATGATATCAATATTTCACTTACTTACTGATAGCGAAAATAAATGATAACAATATTTCACTGAATTACTGCAATTGATAATAAATTATATCAATATTTCACTGACTTACTGCAATTGATAATAAATGATATCAATATTTCACTGACTTACTGATAGTGATAATAATGCTTACTGATAGTGATAATAATTGATATCAATATTTCACTGACTAACTACAATTAATTACAAATGATATCAATATTTCACTGACTTACTGATAGTGATAATAAGAGAAGTTGTATCTGAGTTCCCGCCAGAATCGACTGCCGTTACGGAACAAGTAACTGTGATCGGCAGACCGTTGTCTAGTTTGTACAATGACGTCACTGTAATAGTATTGTCAGTACCCATTTGAAAATATCTGCAAATATTGAAAAACATGTTTAAAGGGGACACAAAATATTCCTCCTTTCTTTCTAAATGACTGAAACATACCTTAAATTTACAAAAGTTAGTCAGTCTCTATTATATTACTTCCGTAATATCTGCGAAGAGTTAAATGCAATTTTATTTGAATATTTTGGAATGGCAATCTATGACAGGATATTTTAACTAAACTCCATCTACAATCAAATTTTGGTGTACAGGTACTGATTTTCTTTATAAATATTGTTTTGTGTAATCGTTTAAGTATATACCCATTATACGTGGTTCCACAATCCATGGTATATACGTATGTATCAGTGGTATCAGCGTCTATAATGGAAAATCCAGGATCAACCAGTGTCGTACCAACAGCCTACAATACAATCGTGTAGAAAAACAGTAGAGTAAATTGTTCCTATTTCAAAATATAGTAACTAATGCACACTAAACTTTTGCCGTTTACATAATTATTGATGCAAATTAAACTAACATTTGAATGAATTTAAAACAAATTTATGTGTAATCTGGGACGGTTGGTAGTGGTATAAAATAAAGGAAATACACATGGCGAAAATTTCAATTATTATGTAAATATGTTCGATGTAGGTACGATGTAGGCTATTTAATATTGAAATGAACAATCCGAATATATTTCATATATTGCTTAGAACAAATGATATGTTTATTCTGTATCAAATTATATTCAGTAATATAGTCCACGAAGAATCGTAAAGTCCGTTTAGTAACAACGCATACAGATACTATCTGGTTCTTTGTTGTTTTGGCGTTACGTAGAATCTGAGAGTTTATTTGATTATAGAGAGAGAGAGCAAATGATTAAATCTAAAAGATGACTTACTTTTGTGTGAACCATCCTAGCTCGAGGCTAGTTCATGTTCAATTATTTGTCATTATTAATGACATTACTTTTCTTGAATACTTGTAAAAACCTTCATTAAACTTGCGTTTTACGAAAGCTTAATATCATCATCTATTACGGAAATGATATGAGCCGTGTCACGACAAAACAAACAAAGTGAGTTTGTGACCAGCATGGATCCTGACCAGCCTGCGCATCCGCGCAGTCGGATCAGGATCCATGCTGTTCGCTATCAGTTTCTTTACTTGTTATAGGGTTTGTAAGCGAACAGCATGGATCCTGATCAGACTGCGCGGTCTGAAACTATGCTTGTCGCAAACGCATAACGTTAGTTTTGTCATGACGAGGCTCAATTATGTTATGAATTTCACGAATTTCATACCGTCCATTCTACAACATCGGCGCGGTAAACTGAAGAGGAAAAATTCAGTTGCTCATTGAGGTTGTTTATAGATACAGTTAGTGTTGATGTAGCAGAGGCCTGTCCGTCGCTTAAAACAACTTCAAATATGAATGGTAAGCTACTGCTCCCATCAGCGATGATGGCCTCGTAATCAATTAAAGTTGACGTTGTTACAATACCAGCTAAAAAGATACAAACAATAGCATGTATTTGTTATCACTTATTGCATTAATTTATTTACTTCGTTTGAATTTATTAAATATTGTAACTAATATCTTACTCCACTATAGAATACCAATACAAAGATTATTTGCATTAAGCTGCGGTCTCACTTACTCCCGGCAGAGTCCAGGACCATCCCGGTAAGTTACCGTAACGATCAACTTACCGGGATGATCCGGGACGATCCGGGTTGAAATTATTTGTTGTGGTCACACTTACCCCGGCAGCACTACGATAGTTCCCAACTACCACCCAGGATGCGCTCCAAACAGATCCCAGGTGAAGCTACGGTTCATGCCAGTGTTTCCCCGGTCGTTCCCGTCAACGTCCGGGATGATCCGAGAACATCCGGCATTCGACCCCGGATGGAATAAAATACTTAATATCACCGGGGTGGTCCGGGATAATCCGGGAAGGTAAAGCTTTGTCGGCTTCATCCTTAGCTCTGCCGGGAACGACCGGGGTTATACCGGGGAAGCAGCGTAGCTCTGCCAGCACAAACCGGGGGTGATCCGGGTTATGATATATCCGTAGAGCTACGGTAGAACTACGGTAGAGCCCCGGCCCCGGTATATGCCGACAGAGCCCCGGTAACTACAGGTAGAGCCCCGGAGGATAAAGGTAGAGCTACGGTTTATCCCGGTAGTGCCCCGGCAAATCCCTTATGATTTCAAAAGAATATCGACAATTGCGATGATTGCACTTGTTTGTATTTAAAGCCTTCCCATTTCTCTTCTTTCCAGTATGGCATAAGGATTTTTCAGGAAATCATCATGATTTGCTATTCTGGAACAATAGATATTATATCAAATAAAAAATATGTATCAATGTCATCATTTGCGGGCGTTTTCAATCCACTGGGGTTCTACCGAGGCTCTGCCTTGATCGTCCTGGGCTCTGCCGGGGCTCTGTCTGGATCGTACGGGGCTCTGCCTGGGTCAACCAGGGCTCTTCTGGCGTCATCCGGGAACGACCGGGGAAGCACTGGCATGAACCGTAGCTTCACCTGGACTCTGCCTGGATGATCTGGAGCGCATCCTGGGTGGTTAGTTGGGAACTACCGTAGTGCTGCCGGGGTAAGTGTGACCGCAACAATAATTTCACCCCGGATCGTTCCGGATTGTCCGGATCATCCCAGTAACTTACCGGGATGGTCCTGGGCTCTGCCGGGAGTAAGTGAGACCGCAGCTTTAATTGTTTAAAAAGTTTGCAGATACATGTTTTATGTCAAAATAGGTGATATTTCTTAGAGATAATTTGACACTACCTCACAGTTCCTTTACAACAAAAGGTTTTAAAGATTTATAGTAACAGAAAAACATATATGATTTAAAACTTACTTAAAACTTAAGATTTAAAAGTGGCCGAAACTAGTAGATAATACTAGATACCAATAAATTATTGTAAACGTGCACTGGTGTTGACGTGTATTACTCTTGATTTAGAACTTGCATTGGTTGATTAAAACTTACTTGTTGAATTAAGGTCAAAGTATGCTGTCCCTGATGTTAGTTCAGCCCAAGATAGTGTAAGAGAATCAGCATCTATGTCAGTCGTCATCACAGTAAATAAACTAACACCTGACGCGGTGCCTTCATCAACAGTTATTGTATTGTCCATGTTAGTAAACTCCGGTGGTGTATTTATATCTGTACAAAATAAAACATTTTGTTATCAAACCTTAAATACATCATTCAAAGGTAAATAAAGTATACTATATCGCCGAATATCATCCTCAATTAGGATATTTCCCCGGGAGACGCTGTGGCACATATAAAACTCTTACATAACTCCATATCCAGTGATATTCTAGTTAATATTAAAGATATTCTATAGGTAAAATTCTTTAATTGCAGAAATGTATTAAAATTTAGGAAATTCTTATTGAATTCGTTTGATATGGATAAGTGAAAGCATTTGATACATTCTCCACTATACACGTATGTGCATTCTGTAACCTCTAGTGTGTAAAACGTTCTCTATGTGGTCAAAAAAGTTTATTTTTAAATTAAAAAGAGAATGTTTAGAAATAATAAGTATTTTCAAATACTTTGAGCATAATACACTTTATAAAATGATATTGAAATTGTAAATAAAATTGGTATCTTAAAAATTCTGAATGGAAATAATGAGAAAAAAGGAAATACCTAAAGTACGTCCAAAACGCCAAAATAAAAATCTTTCCTTTAGCTCTTTGTTGTTATAATTGTGTGTTCATGTTTAAAGAAACGAATCGTGATATTTACTTAAAATGAGGGGCGTCCGTAGCCGAGTGGTTTAGGTCGTTGACTTCAAACCACTTGCCCCTCACCGCTGTGGGTTCGAATCTCGACAGGGTCTTTGGATTCTTTCATGTGATGAAGATATCCCGCTAGCTTACGAAACGTCGGTGGTTCTACTCAGATGCCCGTTCGTGCCTAAAAACATGCTCGGTGGGGTACCTGAGGTCTTCCTCCACCAGTAAAGCTGGAACGTCGCCAAATGACCTATACTGTGTCGGTGTGACGTAAAACCCAAATAAAAAAAATACTCAAAACGAGAACTCAACTTACCTACAACGACGACAGAGAGAGTTCTGCTTACTCCAGCGTTTTTGGCGTCCTGAACATGTACAAATATATCATATCCAGTGTGCACGTAATCTGCTAATGATCCGATAACCAATATCTGTCCCGCTGAAACAAAACAGTAAACATCATCAACTTTTTTAGTTTGTAAAATTATTTTAACAAGATTGTATACATTGTAACCTGTGTATCGTTTTCTGTTTATCACTGGTATATTGTATCCTCCGTGTTATGTTGTATTTTAATAGTATTTGCTTAACTGTTGTGTTGTCGTTTGTTTGCCTAACTGTGGTAATGTTATTCTATAGTCTGCTTCGTATGAGTGGAAAGGTTGTATGAATGTGTTCACTAATATTTCACGTGCATGACCCTAAAATCCCCGCGAATCATTTTCTTGTCTAAAGACAATATTTGGAAATTTTAAACCCATTTACGTTTGATCAAAGGTTCCAAAGAGGAGGTTTCACAAACCCAATTGTTATCATTGTACAATAATAACAACAATAACAAAAATAATTTTAAAAAAAGAAAGGAAAAAAAACAACGTCAATGAAAAAGTTCTGCTAAAATAGGTGGTAATATTTACAATCAAGTATCTGAAAAGGAGATGGAGTGGGAAATGTCGTGATGCTTGCATTGATAGTATCGCCGTCGGCGTCGGTTAAATCGGCTGTAAATATCACGCTACCATTCACTGCATTTACCGACACGTTCACCGTGGTACCAGTCGCTGTAATCAAAGAACAAAATTAATGTGAGGTAACTGTCATCCAAGTGCATTTATTCATTTCAATATTTTGAATGTCTAGACAAGTGTAATAGGCCAGTAAACCTAGAACTAATTGCAAAATAATTTTTATCAACACCTCACCCTAAAAAGTCCCTATATTTTGTGTTTGCAATTACAAAGATAAAATTGTTTTAAATAGGGATTTTTTCCGTTTTAAAACGTTTATGAATTTAATGTTATTTGTTTGATGAACTGACTGTCAAAATCTTATTTACATTAATGATGATATCTGTTATACTTTTGTAAAACGCATCAGTGGGTGGGGTAATATTTTAACCAGTTTTAGTAAAAAGTTAGTAATCATATGTTAACTGCGTTATCATTGATTGACACTATAATTTTGTTATTCATTGTTTGACATTGTAATGATATATATATTATAAAATTTTAAATATACACAAATATTAATATGCAAACTGGCTTCCTGATTCTTATATTTTTCGTGACATCCAAGGTACCATGTAATTGAGGCAATTTCTCAGCAATTGCAACAGAAAAAGTAAGGGACTTTTAAAGGATAAATGTACAAACATACTAGTTTCAGAAACAAACTTTTAAAACTTCTGCAATTAGTTCTATGTTGACCCCCATTTTGAGTTAGAGCCTTTCATGAGTCATGATCATGTTTTCATTCTAAAAGACTGCACTACTTGAATAATGAAAGAGATGAGAGTAGCATGATGCAAAATATTTTCTTTTCACAAACAAATGAGCCGTGCCATGACAAAACCAACATAATGCGTTTGCGACCAGCATGGATCCAGACCAGCCTGCGCATCCGCGCAGTCTGATCATGCTTACAAACCCTATTACAAGTAGAGAAACTGATAGCGAACAGCATGGATCCTGATCAGACTGCGCGGATGCGCAGGCTGGTCTAGATCCATGCTGGTCGCAAACCCATTATGTTTGTTTTGTCATGGTGCGGCTCAAACATTTGTAAATTAAGTATGACAAATTCGTAAAATATATTTGTTAAACGGTCTTTTTATACATCTCTGTAGATTATCATTAAAAAACGACCCTTAAGAAAAGGTTGATGTTTATCAGTAAGCAAATACTACATCAAATGCAGCCGTTCAACCAATTAAATTTGGTAAGGGCTTTCTAATAACCAATTATGAGTTTGATCTTATTTTTTTATGGACGGTCGATTACTAGACTGATTAATTGTAAGCCGATTTACCAAAGTAAGCGGGATACGATTTATTTGAAATACTGAAATCCTATTGGACTGACAATAATTTCAAACACTCTATTAAATCGACCATTAAAAGAATAACACCAAAACGCTTAATTGGCCGAACGGCTGTGTCGTTCAAGATCAATTCAATTCCATATTTGCTTACTGATAAGCACTAACATATACTTAAGAAAAGAGTATTCTACTGTATTTCAATAAAACAAAATTTACATGGAAGGTTGTTGATAACTGGTGGCGAATTCTGTGTGAGGGATAAACGGTTATAGTATCTGTAACGGTTTCTATGTTATCATCACACGTGACGGTCACAACATACGACATCTGAGTATTGTAATTAAATACCCCATTAGCTGTATTTGCCTGAGAACGAACGTAAATTCCGTACTCTATAATATAAAAAGATATCATTTATAACCATTCATTTCTGTAAATTATTCAAATATTAAAACTGTGAGGAATTAAATTAAGTCCATTTGACAGTCCGACTAAGACCTACTAGTTGTCTTTTTATTTTTTATTTGATCCGCGTCACGACAAAACCAACATAATGGGTTTGCGACCAGCATGGATCAAAACCAGCCTGTGCATCCGTGCAGTCTGATCAGGATCCATACTGTTCGCTGTCAGTTTCTCTACTTGTTATATAATATATAAGCGAACAGCATGGATCCTGATCAGACTGCGCGGATGCGCAGGCTGGTCTGGATCCATGCTGGTCGCAAACCCATTATGTTAGTTGTGTCATGGCGCGGCTCATTTAAGCATGACACATTGTAGCATCTACTAAACATATTAGCTTAAAAACTCACTGTGAATTGGAGTGTTTCAAAACTGAATTTAAATACTAAGAGTCTAACTGTCCGCTTATAGCGGGAGAAAATACTTTCAAAAAAGTTTCAATCTAAACAATTCTAATGTTACTTATTTTTAACCTTAAGAATAACATGCGTTTCAATACGATGTCAATACTTTACCGTCAGTTGCCCCGCCTGTGAGCTTTGTAATAAAGAAAGGTGGACTGTTAGCAGGAGTTTCAGTTATTGATGCTGACGAAACAAGACTATTGTCGGAACACGTGTATGTTGTAATTAGAATTTCTGTTGGAACATCCTCAGAAGTAGTTACAGACGCTACAAGATTCGTTATTTGAGGAGGCTGTCGCAAAAAAAAAAATCATGAAAAAGTACGGTGTCCTTATCGTGCCATTTAGAATGTCGTCCGTCGCGTCTAAGGGTAGACACACGACAATGCGAAGTGACATCGCGACAATGCGAAGCGACGCTCGACAACGCGAAGCGATATGCGACAATGCGAAGCGACGCTCGACAGTGTCAAACGATATGTCGCACTGTCGCCTAGAAATGTCGCGGTAAAAAAGGGCGACATTTAAGAAATGTCGCTTCTCGTTGTCGAGTGTCGCTTCGCATTGTCGAGCGTCGCTTCGCGTTGTCGCGATGTCACTTCGCGTTGTCGCGATGTCACTTCGCGTTGTCGCATTGTCACTTCGCATTGTCGAGTGTCGAGGTTGGTAGAAGTGCATACCACGACACTCGACAATGCGAAACGACAACGCGACAATGCGATACGACGCTCGACAATGCGAAGTGACACTCGAAATCGCGAAGCGACATTTTTAAAATGTCGAGTAAATGTCGCGTTATTTTTATGATTTTTACACCGCGACGCTCAACATTGCGAAGCGACACTCGACAATGCGAAGCGACACTCGACAACGCGAAGCGATACCCGACAACGCGAAGCGACACTCGACAATGCGAAGCGACATTTGGAATAATATCGTATCGCATTGTCGTGCGTCTACCGGTGCTTGGTCAGAATTTACTAACTCACCGACAAACGGTGCGATCATGGAAGGGGTCGCACTAAACTGCTGACGAATTAGCTGACGATATAGAAATATATAGGAAACTGCTGACCAGTTAAACAAAGAAGGATTATCGAAAACTGCTGACCAGTTACACAAAGAAGGGAAACATTGAAGGTGTCAAATTGCCGTTGGTGATATTACAGGCGAGGTCGAGAAATACTTGATAAAATGTTTTTTCAAGATGTCAATATTACAAATGATACATATTAATTATAAAAAATTCAATTGATATATACTGTATATTTCTCAATTTATTTTGATATAATATTTTATTTCAGTACCTTAATGAATTTTCTTCTATGTGTTATATATTGGTTAAAATTTTAAAAATGTAGTCAAAATATGATGTACGAAAAATCATAATTTGTTTCAAGTATGTATAAAACTATGCATCATAGGTTAAAATATATACATGTACATATACGTAATGTATATTTTAACAAAATATAATTATTATGTCGTATTTAGTGCAAATATGAAATAAAGTGATTTCTGTTTCTTATTTGTTGTTCGTATAATTGTATAAGTAATATTGAACAAAAATTAATAATGTGCTAATTGTTATAGTTAATAAGCTTTTATTACATTATAAACAACATGTTTCCACAGATATCCATTAAACTGATAATTAATCGAGATCGATATGCCCCAAGGTCATATTAAAATCGATTTCACACGCGACGTGTCATTCTTGATTTATCTATGACAAAATACAATAAACAGTCAAAAATATGTTATTAAAATGCTGACCGTATTGTAGAATCTGCTGAAAAGTTAGATATATAGAGAAAAATATATTTAAATGCTACGAAATTGTTACTCATCATGCAAATTTAATATATTTTATAAAATAATGTCGGCATTTAATTAAGTAAAAACACTGCTGACCAATTTAATGTTAATTCAAATTGATTTAAGCCGTAAAACTCTTCTTATTCTATATGGTCAGCAAATTTAACGCTCTTTCACATTCAGGCGAGAAAATGCTGACCAGTTAAACATATAGTAGAATCTGCTGACCAGTTAGATATATAGGGAAACTGCTGACCAGTTAGATATATAGAGAAAAATATATATTGCCGTGAAATTGTTACTCATTTTATAATGTATGCAAATTCAATATACTTTATAAAATTATGTCGACATTTAATTAAGTAAAAACACTGCTGACCAATTTAATATTATTTCAAATTGATTTAAGCCGTAAAAGTCTTCTTATTCTATATGGTCAGCAAATTTAACGCTCTTTACATTCAGGCGAGAAAATGCTGACCAGTTAAACATATAGTAGAATCTGCTGACCAGTTAGATATATAGGGAAACTGCTGACCAGTTAGATATATAGAGAAAAATATATGCATGTGATCTTAAAGTATGAAGACATGGGTTTTACAGTCAGTAATTTTTGTGGAATAAAATTGAATTATGCATGGAAGAGCACCTGAGGTCTTCCTCCACCAGTAATGCTGGAATGTCGCGATATGACCTATACTATGTCAATGTGACATAAAACCCAAAACAAACAAGCAAACATATTTCAGTGTGTACATGTATTTGGTATCGTTGGCCTAGTGGTAAAGGTGTCTGCCTTCAATTTGTGAGGTTGAAGGTTCAAGCCCCCACAGGGAAGGTAAATGAAGTATGAATGTTTATCTTGGGACTCGTTCCTAAAAAGCCGCTTCTTGAGCTGCTAGGTAGTTAAAATGAAAGGTTACCAATTTCTATCCGCCTTGTGCCTGGCATACTAATAAGTGGTAGGAGTTGGGAGGTACAATTGGTATGCAAGCAATTTATAGGTGTCTCATAAGTCAGAAATGGCAGGCCCTTACAGTAATGGTGACACTATAATAAACAAGACCTGTATCCTAATCAGACTGCGCGGATGCGCAGGCTGGTCTTGATCCATGCTGGTCGCAAAGCCATTATGTTGGATTTCTCGTGACGCGGCTCAATTCTCTGTAACTCTGTGAAAATGGAGGATGAATTTCAATATAGCACGGGAGTATGTCATGGTTCAGAACTTTTCACTATTTAACAGAGATGATGTGTAAGCGGCCGAATATCTAAGTTGATAGAGCCATGGTACAGTATACTGAGGGTCCCGGGTTTGAGTTCCATTCAGACTGCAGATTTTTCTCGCCCTGTGACACTTGGCACCCAACAGGGGACCATGACTGAATATTGCTCAGAGTTCAATTTACATTGGAGCCACGTCACGACAAAACCAACTTTATGGGTTTGCGACCAGCATGAATCCAGACCAGCCTGTGCATCCGCGCAGTCCGATGAGGATCCATGCTGTTCCCTACCAGTTTCTGTACTTGTTATAGGGTTTGCAAGCGAACAGCATGGATCCTGATCAGACTGCGCATTTGCGTATAGTATTCTGAGGGTCCCGGGTTTGAGTTCCATTCAGGCTGCAGATTTTTCTCAGTGACCCTGTGCCACTTGGCGCCAAACAGGGGACAGTGACTGAATATAGCTCAGAGTTTAATTAACATTTCTCTGTAGCTCAGTAAATTTGAGGATGAACTTCAATATAGCAGGGGAGTATGTCACGGTTCAGAACTGTTCACTATTTAGGAGAGATGATTTGAAAGTGGCCGGATAGCTAAAATGACTAAGAGCCGCAGTACAGTATTCCGAGGGTCCCGGGTTCAAGTTCCGGTCAGGCTGCACATTTTTCTCACCCTGTGACACTTGGCACCCAACAGGGGACCATGACTGAATATTGCTCAGAGTTTAATTTACACTTGAGCCACGTCACGACAAAACCAACTTAATGGGTTTGGGACCAGCATGAATCCAGACCAGCCTGCGCATCCGCACAGTCTGATCAGGATCCATGCTGTTCGCTATCAGTTTCTGTACTTGTCATTGGGATTGCAAGAGAACAGCATGGATCCTGATCAGACTGCGCGGATGCAAAACCATTATGTTGGTTTTGTCGTGACACGGCTCAATTCTCTGTAACTCTGTGAAATTAGAGGATGAATTTCAATATAGCAGGGGAGTATGTCATGGTTCAGAACTGTTCACTGTTTAACAGAGATGATGTTCAAGCGGCCGGATAGCTTCAAGTCGATAGAGCCATGGTACCGTATTCTGAGGGTCCCAGGTTTGAGTTCCATTCAGGCTGCAGATTTTTCTCAGTGACCCTGTGACACTAAAAATGGCACCAAACGGGGGACCGTGACTGAATATAGCTCAGAGTTTATATTTATTTTTCTGTAACTCTGTGAAATTCAAGGATGAATTTAAATATAGTAGGGGTCAGAATTATTCACTATTTTGGGGAGATGATGTGTAAGCGGCCAGATAGCTTAGTCGGTAGGGCAGCGATATATTCTATTCTGAGGGTCCCAGGTTCAATTTCTGCTTGGGCTGCACATTTTTCTCACCCATTGACAATTTGCGCCCAATGGGGGACAGTGACTGAATAATAATTAGCTCAGAATTTAATTTAGTCATTTCTCTGTGAAATTCCAGGAAGAATTTCAATATAGCAGGGGAGTATGTCACAGTTCAGAAGTGTTCACAATTTAGGGTCCCGGGTTCGAGTTCCAGACAGGCTGCACATTTCTCTCACCCTATGACACATGGAAAAAAATGTGTCCCCTCATCATTTTATCTTTTTTGTGTTGTTGCGGTTGAAGGGCCTATATTCACAAAATACTGAAAAAGGTTAAAAGGTGTGTGACAAAATGAATTGTTTTATATGTTTCTCATTCTGTCTCTCTTCAAGGTTTAGCTACTTGTAACAATCACAACCAAACAAAATAACGAAATAGCACAAATCAGACACCATAGTTAAGTGATCCTCAATTAGCAAAATGGCAGCTGACTTAAATGCAATAAAGCAGTGGAGTTCCATTGTTAATTTGAATTGTCATTTTTGTCGAAATGGTTTGTTGAGTTTGGAAAACGTTTTTTTACATTTTGATATCAAAGTTAATGCAATATAATGACGCATACGTACTCAGTTAATAGAAAGTATTTAGATCACATTTTAACAGAATTTGTCCGCCATTTTGAAAAACGGCCGAAGGATACAAGCCGCTTTAAATCGTGTTATTTATATTTATGGCCTTTGTTGATAAAAAACAATCATTGAATTGTGAATATTAAAATATCTGGCAAGTTATTAGACCTTTATTGTTAAGAATAAATGTGTATGGTAATGAATGACAAGTTTTAAATTTAAGGTAAATTTTCGGGTAATTTGACCTAGTTTTCGGAGAAATTGGCCATTTTCAACTACAGCTTAAGATTAGTTCTAGCCAATTTAGAAATAAAACAATGGACAAATAACAAAGTTTAACACCCCTGACAAGTTTTAAAAGCATTTATTTTCATGAATTTAATACTTTTAGAACCTTGCAGGTTTTTTAAAAATGCCCTACGAAAGATGCAAAATTTGGCGATTTAGCTCAATTTCACGTATATATTCTGGAGAAAATAAATACTGTCAGAATATTCAAATACATGCACCGAAATAATTGTTCTATGCTGAAGATTTATACCAATTTTCACGGCGCTTTGTTTGTAAATAAAGTTACAGGCAAGTTTTAAAAAACATGAGTAAACCGTGGTAAAATTACGCCCGTGTGATTATTACGCGACACCGGTCTTATAGAAAATGAGTATCATTTTGTATTAATATGTTCTAAATTCCAGGACTTAAGATCAAAATATATAAAGAGATATTATTATACGTGGCCTACTAAACAGAAATTTGTTAATCTCATATGTGCAAAATCAAAAGCAATAATTAATAATTTAGCAAAATATATATAGTATGCAAACTTGCGAAATAACTAGTCATCTTTAATGCAGATACTTATATATATTATATTATTGTGCTCTTCTGTAAACCACGTCTTTGTATAAAAAATTGTATTGCTATGGAACATGTTGTTTTAATGCAATAAAATATTTGTAGTTGTAGTTGTAGTTAGATATATAGGGAAACTGCTGACCAGTTAGATATATAGAGAAAAATATATTTTGCCGTGAAATTGTTACTCATTTTATAATGTATGCAAATTTTATATATTATATAAAATTATGTCGACAATTTATTAAGTAAAAACACTGCTGACCAATTTAATGTTAATTCAAATTGATTTAAGCCGTAAAACTCTTCTTATTCTATATGGTCAGCAAATTTAACGCTCTTTACATTCAGGCGAGAAAATGCTGACCAGTTAAACATACAGTAGAATCTGCTGACCAGTTAGATATATAGGGAAACTGCTGACCAGTTAGATATATAGAGAAAAATATACTTTGTCGTGAAATTTTAATTCATTTTATAATGTACGAAATTCAATATATTGTATAAAATTTTGTCGACATTTAATTAAGTAAAAACACTGCTGACCAATTTAATGTTAAGCCGTAAAACTCTCTTATTCTATATGGTCAGCAAATTTAACGCTCTTTACATTCAGGCGAGAAAATGCTGACCAGTTAAACATATATAGTAGAAACTGCTGACCAGTTAGATATATAGAGAAAAATATATTTTGCCGTGAAATTGTAATTCATTTTTATTATGTATGCAAATTCAATTTATTTTATAAAATTATGTCGACATTTAATTAAGTAAAAACACTGCTGACCAATTTAATGTTATTTCAAATTGATTTAAGCCGTAAAACTCTTCTTATTCTATATGGTCAGCAAATTTAACGCTCTTTACATTCAGGCGAGAAAATGCTGACCAGTTAAACATATACACATGTAGTAGAATCTGCTGACCAGTTAGATATATAGGGAAACTGCTGACCAGTTAGAAATATAGAAAAAAATATATTTTGTCGTGAAATTTTAATTCATTTTATAATGTACGAAATTCAATATATTGTATAAAATTTTGTCGACATTTAATTAAGTTAAAACACTGCTGACTTATTTAATATTAATTCAAATTGCAATTATTGCTTTTGAAAATACATTTTTTTTCCGTTACAAGATTTTTCTATTGAAATATCACTAACAAGAGATTTTGATAAAACTCATAACATCATAATTCTTTATAAAACATTAATTCAAATTTAAAAATATAATTAAAAGAATAAAAGTAATTTCCCATCTTTTTATTACCCCCTACGGCGTGTTTATATAACTTCACACCTTCAATGTTTCCCTTCTTTGTGTAACTGGTCAGCATTTTCCGATAATCCTTCTTTATTTAACTGGTCAGCAGTTTCCTATATATCTATATCGTCAGCTAATTCGTCAGCAGTTTAGTGCGACCCCTTCCATGATCGCACCGTTTGTCGGTGAGTTAGTAAATTCTGACCAAGCACCGGTAGACGCACGACAATGCGATACGATATTATTCCAAATGTCGCTTCGCATTGTCGAGTGTCGCTTCGCGTTGTCGAGTATCGCTTCGCGTTGTCGAGTGTCGCTTCGCATTGTCGAGTGTCGCTTCGCAATGTTGAGCGTCGCGGTGTAAAAATCATAAAAATAACGCGACATTTACTCGACATTTTAAAAATGTCGCTTCGCGATGTCGAGTGTCACTTCGCATTGTCGAGCGTCGTATCGCATTGTCGCGTTGTCGTTTCGCATTGTCGAGTGTCGTGGTATGCACTTCTACCAACCTCGACACTCGACAATGCGAAGTGACAATGCGACAACGCGAAGTGACATCGCGACAACGCGAAGTGACATCGCGACAACGCGAAGCGACGCTCGACAATGCGAAGCGACACTCGACAACGCGAAGCGACATTTCTTAAATGTCGCCCTTTTTTACCGCGACATTTCTAGGCGACAGTGCGACATATCGTTTGACACTGTCGAGCGTCGCTTCGCATTGTCGCATATCGCTTCGCGTTGTCGAGCTTCGCTTCGCATTGTCGCGATGTCACTTCGCATTGTCGTGTGTCTACCCTTAGACGCGACGGACGACATTCTAAATGGCACGATAAGGACACCGTAAAAAAGACATGATGCAGTTAAAGAATTCTAATAGAACATTGTGAACCTGGTCTGTTTCAAATAAGAATCTTAAACCAGTTGAAATACAGTTTATTACAAGTTATCTCTAAAGAGAAATGAACAACTATATTATCATTATTATCTTTTGACAGTCTCTGTAATGGTTCACACATAACCGGATATATACATGTTTCATAATGGATTTGCTCAGATTTTAATCTTGAACGGTCTATTGAAATTTAAATTTAAGGGATTTCAATATCAAAATACAAAATAAAAGATAATACCAGATCAGTCAGACAGTATAATATACTGGCAAAGACTAATCTTATGTACAGAATTTTCAGGCTTGCAATGGTTGCATAGCCTAATCTTATGTACATGATATACGAGCTGGTAATGAAGGCAAATACTAATCTCATGTACTTATATACAGGCTGGCAATGGAGGCAAATACTTATCTTATGTACTAATATACATGCTTGCAAGGGTGATAAAGACTAACCTTATGTACAGGATATACAGGCTGGCAATGGAGGCAAAACTTAATCTTATATACAGGATATGCGGGCTGGCAATGGAGGCAAATGCTTATTTTATGTACATGATATACAGACTGATAATGGTGACATAACTTATCTCATGTATATTAATAAGTTTCTCAAGCATTCATTTAAGCTCAATTTCTTTCAAGTTTAATTTAATACAAGTTTGCTTTAGTTTACATTGATCTGTGTTGATTATCACTTTACAAAGGTTATACAGTAAAACATCATTCATGTTTATTTCCTTGACTTACCGTGTTAGTTACAGTAATAACAATATTTTGTGTGGTGGTGTGACCACAATCGTCTGTCCCGGTAACTGTCACTGTCTTTGTGCCGGATTCTCCAACCAGTGAAGCCTTCACCGTAATATCAGCTGAATTGGAAAGGTAAAGGTACAACCTTTTAGATAACATAAATCTTTAAGTGTGTTAAATGACAAAATAATTAAAGCATAATGTTTGTCATCGTGTCTGCGTAGCGCAAATTAAAACTTTAAACCGAAGTTACCATCATAATTTGTGCAGGTGGATGCGTTAGCTTAGCGGCGGCAACAACATTTATCTTTGTACCAGAATCTTACAAGGCCAAATCGTCATCGCGAACAAGAAAGTTATGGTAGGTTCATGTTTTAAAATGTTGATAATGTTTTATAACACTACAACTATTGAAACTTACCTCCTTTAATTCACAGTATATAAACGATTTGAACCCCAACCGGATCTTGTGAAAAGATGTCAGTGTCAGCCATTTTCTGACGCTTGACTTATTTAATATATTGGTATTTATATTGATACTTATGGACGTTAGGTTAGTAAATCTTTATTTACATCGTAGAAGAGAAACTTTATTAAACGTTTAAGTTATGCAAAATATACTAGTAAATGTTAGCATTAAAGCTATAAAATAATCAAAACTCACGAACTGCTTTCATGTCTTCAACACTGAACACAAACAAAAATCCGTCTTATTTCAATGTTTATTTAGTTTAACATTGAATTGTGATATCGAACTACTAAAATAATTAATAACAAAAGATAATTTAGTCATCTGCAAACAATATTGCTGTATTTTGAACATTAAATTAAGAGTTTAACCAAGGAGATCAATTCCGTAAAGTGAACGTTACTTGCTGGTGATTGTGAACCCTACTTGTGAGTTTACGAATTTTATCTGTACCCTGACTTGTGAGTGTTTTTAAAGATTTAATGGAGAGAACGTTTATCATTTAACGTATTTATTTGTTTATTGACAGGCAAAATGGAAGAATTCAGTTGTCCTCCAAAAAAATTCGGAAACACTATTGTTCACAATTTTGACATAAGAACAAAAGCTTAAAATAAAAATTTCTCAGTTTGACAACAATAACAGAAACATTAATTCATACTCCAAAGACTTTAGAATTATTCCAAAAGAACTGAAAAAAAATAAAAAAAAGGACTTTAAAGCAAATGATATTACAAAAACAGTAAAAGTTTCAAGACAAGAAGGACTTGAAAAATAATCTCCAATCAAGAAATGTCAAAAAATCAAAACGCCTGCTAAAGATGTTCATACATCGACAAAAGATACGTTTGAGTACAGATGACGAAGAGTTTAAGTTTAAACTTGGTGTCAACTTATTCCACAGATGCCACATTTAAGTTGTGTTTTCAGGGGAATGTTTGTTACACAAAAGCTACTGTCAAGACCCTCAACTACAAATGATTCATCCAAATCCGTCTGAAATACATGTATATGGCAATTTAAAGAAAGGAACTGGATTTTTATATATCTTTTGACTTAAGATCACTTATGATAGCCAATGATAAACTTTTTAAGTTGTGTGAAAAGAAAACTAACAAATTATCTTAGACATTGGCAATACTGTAAACTATTTAAGAATAAGTGGAAATAAACTTGCAGGAGTGAAAACTACCTTTTAGACATTTAACAACAATATGCAGGAAACTCCTTAAAATGATTTATTAAGAGTGATCCCAGTTTTTACATGTCAGAAATAGAAATTCTTTCGAGGAGGATGGATTGATATGTGACGTTATATAACGGTCACGTCAAAACTAACAACAATGCCGTTGAACTTAATAGTAGAAACGTTTATAGTACTTATGTTATAGTTTAGCTTTATATCTATTCAAAGAAAAATGAATGGTAAATGAAGATAAGATTTGTCAAGATTCCTGTCAAGAAATTATTTTCTTTCTAAGTATATGTTAGTGTTCATCCGTGCTGTTCTACAGAAATTAGAAACTTCGACGGGAGCGATAGCGACAGGAGAATGTTTCTAATTTCTGTAGAACAGCTACGGATGAATACTAACATACTTAGTGTCAAACACTATTTGGCCTCATTATTATCCACTTTATTACGTCACTACACGGTTCTATGAAGTACTATGAAAAATAGAAGGCGACTATGAACGGAATTCGATAAAGTATCGACTTTTGTTTTTTTATGAAAATTAACGCACAGAATTTATAAGAAATATAGCCTTTTCATTGGATGACAAATGAAGTTGGACACTAATTCGTATTACCAGCTACTTTATGCTGGTATTTCCGTGGAAAGTGAAAACAGGAGGAAGGTCCATTCATGTGCAGTATTAGTTACTTTTATAGAACTAAAAGATGTGTCATGCTCTTGTGACACAATAACTTCATATTCTGCAAGATATAATTTGGAACATAGGACAAAAACAATAAAAATCATCAAAAGTGACTCGCAAGTTATGGTTCAATGAAAACACAAGTAGGGTACAGATCATTAAAATTGTTTTAGCAAGACGGGTACAGTTATCAGAATGTTCGCCTCTATTATTTACTACGTTTTTATCAATATTCAAAGATATCCACACAAGTATCTGTGCGGTAAGACGAGGTAAGACAGTAAAGTTAAGATTCAGATATGAGTTATAGTGATTTAGGCATAAATTTGCTTGTGTAATCGGCGTGTGTTGACAAACAAAACATGAAGCGAAGAGCAAAGCGTTTTATGCGCATAAATTTAAAGAAGCTGGTTATAGATGTATCTATAAGTAAAGAAAAAATATTTCTTAATATGATTCAAATGTTTACATACCTTCACAGATTAAATGCAAGCCGTCTTAAAAAGTTTTATTGGTCACCCCGCCTGTTTGTAGTGAACTGATGTTGAGATCTTCTCACAAGATCCGGGTGGGGTTACAAATCGTTTGTATACTGTGTAATTGCCTAGCTTGCTTTCACCAATTAGTATTGTGCGCAGAGGACCAAGAATAATCATAATACTCATTACCAGATTCTAATCAATACAATACGATACGAATAAAATGATTTTTATTTATAACTTGACAAAGAATACAGCTAAATTTTAACTTACCAGTATCATCCCCGTTGTCGACAAGATCAAAGTATGTATCGGTCGGCATTGTAATCGCTACAGTATCACCCACATCGGCATCCGTAAAGGTAATTTGTAACACCAGGGTGGACACTGCAGCTATATCAGATACAGACGCTGTGGACGACCCGGAAAACACTGGATCCGATGCTGTGATAATACAACAAATATAAATTATGTTTTTATGTCACAGAAAATAAATGTTCAAACAACTAAGATAAAGGTAAAAAATTATATCATATGCATCATGTTATCATATCTATTCATGTTTATATGCATATAATCTGCAACTTAATTGTTTTTGTATACTTTGTTTATGTATAGCTACTTCAGAATCAGGTAAAACGTAAAAAAGATACTTTTGTATTGAAGAAAACCTTAAATTAAAACTATTTCCATTCTAAAGTACAATCGAAAGAAAACGTAATTATGCTTTTAACTATAAAAATGTCAACAAATTTAGACCAAGTATTTGCGCAAAAATATGAAGAATAACAAATTTTGAAAGGTTGATTTACGAGAGTTTACTAAAACATACGTGAAAAGCTTTATGTTGATTATGTATGAATATGAAGAAAGATTCCGGACTTTACAGTGGCATAAAGGGGCCATAAGAAATATATAATCTTCCACATACGCACGCGAAAGCTACTACGTGCGCATGCGATAGCTACCATGTGCGTACCACGTGCGCACGCGTTAGCTGCTATGTGCTCATGCGATAGTAACCACGTGCGTACGCGATAGATACTACGTGCGCACGTACAAGCTTTTAAGTAAAAGCTATCCTGTGAGCACATAGCAACTATCGCGTGCGCATGTAGTAGCTATCGCGTGTGCTTGTAGTAGATATCTCGTGCGCATGCGATAGATACAATATTTCTTATGTCCCCCCTATGCAACCGTACGGACTGAACAAAGTAGAAAAGTATAAGCATCGTAAGGTAAATACACATTGTAAAAGTGAAGGGAATAAGATTTAAGTCGTCGATTAAAACATATTTCACCGACATCTACATCCCTGATGTCCGATGTAAAGACTATCAAAGAACAATGTCAGCAAAATAAAGTGAATTTCATATAATTCTAGAGTAACTGTTATTTCCTTTACTTACGTGTTCCGGCTCTTGCCCCTATTGCCCACTCATAAGAGGGAGATACTGTGGCGGAACTCCAATCTACACCATTCTCTGGGTCTGTTACTGACGCTGCAGGTAAATACCTAGCGGTTACTCTTGTTCCTCCGTCTTTATATCCGATAATGTCAGGTCCTGGAGAATACCTGTTCAAAAGATCTTTTTATCATAAAAATTGCTTAATGTGTAATATTTATTTGTAGTTATTCAATGCAGAAACTTAGTTCATACCTTATAACCAATACACTGTAGTATTTGCACCACGTGAAGTTCTAAAAGATTTCATTATTGAATCCAATTTAATTAATTTAGCCTCGTTTTCATTTTCAGAGTCCAAAATGTCCATATCAAATCCATATCGCATGCCATATAGCCCCGTTGTTTTAGTGAGTCCAAAATCCATATCAAATCCTTAATATAATTGATGTAACAAAGTTCTGTCAAAATGTCATAAAATGGTGTAGGGAAATAAAAGAGATCATTACACAGAGATGAGAACAATATTGATTATATTGGACTCGTACATAGCTGCAAAATCCATATTAGACTCGGATATCACCTCATTCAGTATACCAGTATAGTATACAGCTGTGTACTTGTCCGGTAGTTTTCAGTAGTGTACGCAACACAAAATTGCATAATAAGCTGTTAAGATTTGGACGAGTAAGGCGCTCGAGAGACCGTGTACGGCTGAACCTGGCAGATGAGTCCTTAATATTATATGCTGTACAAAACAAGTATAATGCTTGTGTCCTAAACGAGAAAAAAACTGGAAAGGATTAGATCAAATAGAACTTCGATTATTGAAGCCTGAATATCACAGGCAGCCGTTATGTCCATGTCCACCTACCACTGGCTTTAAGGAAAATTTAACATTTAAACATGGAAATCGTTATCAAACACCAGTAGGTGTGTTTCATAAACGCAAGCCGTTAGATATTTCAAAAGGCTACATTCTCCTTTTTTATCCATAATTAATTAATTTCACAAATTTTTAATATTGCAAATTTTTTATGTACATTTTTGTAACCTCAGAATAAGGAAATAAACAATGAGTAAATATGAATTGTTTCAATTCTTAGGTGTTTTATCATAAACTAGATATGCAGCAATTCCTCATCAAAGAACAAGTTAATTATGTTCTTTTTTTCTTCTTGATATGCAAATGATACCCAGTTACGTCATCAGTTTATAACGTCGCTTTCATTAATCTAGCAACTAGTTAGCTTTTGTAACAAACAAATAGCGAAAACAAAACCAGTATTTTTTTAATTGATCGCAAATGCGATATTAAATGAATTTGAAATACAAGCATTTAAATGAAGCGGTCGCCGCCCCCATCCCCACCATCTCCTCCTTTCCTTCGTCATCACTATTCTATTACGGGCTGATACCTAAAGCTACAGTCTGACGTCCGGAGTGATCCGGGAGCAACGGGGGACGACCGGGAACAACCGGAGTTCATCCGTAACTCTTAAGAAGGCAAGCAGGCGCTTATAATATAAGTTACTGAAAATTTCTGTACCTCTTGCATTATCTGTATTAAAAATATCTAAAAAAATAGTTAGGGTTTTTTTTTAAAATTAAATTTTAAAATTTTTAACTTTTACTTTTTTAAAAGGTTTTTTAATTAAAATTAAAGGTAACGGAACCCCTTATGCTCAACCACCCTATACAGTCCCGTTAGCTTTTAAGATTCCCTGTTTGGGGGTGAAAATCTTGGTCGTTTGCTGTAATAAAATAATACAAAATATTTTTGTATCTGCAAATCTCATTTCTTAGAGCAAAGTTCAATCTCGAGGGACTTACCTCATGTGGATCACTGAAATACGAGCAACATCAATAAATACGATGATTAATTTTTCTGATTTAGAAAGTTTTTAAATATAAACTTTGATACACAAACTGTCATTTTTCAATGATACGAGTACTTTCCACGCGATTCGGTTTTGTTCTGGAAGTGTTCGTTGCCGTGGGCTTGGGTCAAACATTGCTCGATCATGATGATAATGAAAATATTTTAAAATATATTTTAATTAGATATGTCTTGTTTTATACTTTAAGTAAGACTTTCATGTAATCTGAGCATATATAAAGCAAATTTTTACCATGTTTTATTGTGTAAATATATACATGTACGGTATTTCTTGAATCTACAATATAATATGAGCCGCATCACAACAAAACCAACATAATGGGTTTGCGACCAGCATGGATCCAGACCAGCCTGCGCATCCGCGCAGTCTGATCAGGATCCATGCTGTTCGCTGTTTGTTTCTCTACTTGTAATAGGGTTTGTAAGCGAACAGCATGGATCCTGATCAGACTGCGCGGATGCTCACGCTGGTCTGGATCCATGCTGGTTGCAAGCCCATTATGTTGGTTTTGTCGTGACGCGGCTCATATGTCTTTCAGAACTCATTCGTAAGTGGTTGTATACTTCTTATTGTACGGATTGTATAAAAGCTAAAGACGTTAATAATATACATTGTACAGGTAGTTGTTTTTTCTTGACTATATGCCGTACACGTATCAAATGTTGTTGCTGCTGTTGTTGTTTTAAAAAACGAAAAGCGTGTAAATAAGAATCCACAAGTGTAGGTAATTACAGTGTATAATTTATAACCCTGAAATTAATTCATGATTCCGAAGCAAGTTTATTGAAATTTGTTCAGATATACTCTAAATATGATACACGTTCAATACTATAATACTGCATGATTTCTTGCAAATTCATAACTTGTTATCATCTGAAAATACTTTGCGAATTCTTTAATGCGCTATATTGCGAGTTTCATTTGGAGTTTTAAATAGATCATTTTCTCCTAAAACATTCGTGTTTTGATTCTTAATTGTGATTAAGGTCCGATACACATAATCATATGAATGGAAAAAAATATTGAAGAAAAAAAATAAATGAGCCGCGCCATGACAAAACCAACATAATGGGTTTGCGACCAGCATGGATCCAGACCAGCCTGCGCATCCGTGCAGTCTGATCACGATCCATGCTGTTCGCTTAAACCCCAGTCGCACTAGAGCTTACGATTACTTGCGACCACCGGCGACTTGTAAAACTGACGATCATCAGCGATTGTCTGCGACCAAAACCATTTTTGCACAGATAAATTTACTTTTGCTAGTATCGTAAAGCCCCAGTCACATTAGAGCTTACGACTAGTGAAGACCAGTTCACGATCACCAGTGACCTGGTGATCATTGACAATCGCACGACAGGTCATAAGTAAACGTACGATGGTCTCAAGATTGCCTGGGATTACTTACGACTACCCGTGACATAACATGCGATCACCTACAACTTGTCGTACGACCATCACACGATAACTAAAGACTACTTAAGATTATCAGTGACTAGTGGCAATTTGTAAAGACTGTCGTAAGATTGTCGCACTTTCGAACGACCATCGTGCGACAGCCTTTAGACCTTATAAGATCACTAGCGACCTGTTTGATCGCAAGCAGGTTTTTGTGCAAGCTCAAAAACCTCTCTACGACTGAAATTGGTCGTGGGACCTAAATTAGATAACCTGCGACTGTCAAAGATCACCGATGACTGTCGTAAGACGTTTTAAAGATTGTCCGCGACCAGAGGTCACTGGTGATCGTGAACTGGTCTTCACTGGTCGTAAGCTCTAATGTGACTGGGGCTTTACCAACCCTATTACAAGTAAAAAAACTGATAGCGGTCAACATGGATCCTGATCAAACTGCGCGGATGCGCAGGCTGGTCTGGATTCATGCTGGTCGCAAACGCATTACGTTGGTTGTGTCGTGATGCAGCTAAAATAATGAAAAAAAAAAGATTTTTGTTTCTGAATTCTGAATACAACGTTATTTCATTCAAGATAATACATACACTCCTTGTCCAGAATTTTAACATTTTTTGTCATATTGCGTCCCTCTATGCATGGCGGCATTACATCTTAATATAATGTAATACATTTATCAGATTTTGCTGCCAGTTCTGTGAGAAAAGCTCAAAAATGTTTTCTGATAACAAGGTAAGAAACCTGTAAGTATTTTTTAAAAAAAAACTGCCCTGGATTTAGTATGAAATGCAATTAGTCAACTGTCTCCAATAGTAAGGACAATTTCCGCAATAAATAGACCATAAGTCAATTCGCTAACAAATAGCCATTCATTTCTAGAAAACATAATAACTATATAACACTCAAACATGCCTCTTAAATTATTAAATTCGCGATTTTAAGCTCACAACATCCGAATGAGACACGCCCGTTTACCCGTTGTGTATAGGATATAGAACTGCAAATTAAAGTCCCTTTCAAAGAAGCGAAGCATATAAATTGCATAGTAGATTGCACCATACCTGATCCGGCCGTATGAGAGAAAGAATTAATCAAGTTATAAGTATCAGTTCCTCCTTGTCTGCGCCATACTTGCAGTTCCACGGACCCGACGACTTCCGCCGTGTATTCCCATCTGTTAATAACGCCGCAACAATCAAACATGTAATCTCCATCACATATCATATAGTACGTGTCTGTTAATAGAAAGTAAAAAGAAAGTAAATTGTTATGCTTCTTAGAATTTGACTTGATGCCGACAGTGCCTAAGTTGAAAGATATAACATATATGATGTGGTGAACCGATGACTTTTTTTATCAAAACAATGTTCCCCTAGAAAAGGACTTTAGTGGAATTGAATTGGAGGGAAATTTTGGCAAGTCAAAATACTATTTTGTTTTCATTTTGCTACTTTTATAACAAATAATTTCGCAATCAGTGCTGCATTTTTAAGGCGATAATCACCTAACATGTCCTAAAACCATTATTTCAACGTAATTAAAAGAATGTGTGCCCAGTCCAAGAAAGAACAATTTATTCCTTTCAGTGGCATTAACGTGCCTTTATAATAAATCAAAGCGTCTTTGTCATATCAGTAGGATGTTGACGTTAATTTACAGTCGGAATATATCAAAAAGAAGTCGTCAATAACATGACAATCATCATACATAATAAGTCGTATAACATACAATGTTAGGCGTATAACACAATAATCATTACATTGATTTCTCTTGATAAAGTGCATGGCTGAAAAATTTAGCTTTATCAGTCGCCTTCAGTTTTATCAGACACCTCTGTCGGACCGTATATGTCACGGACCGAATATGTCACGGACCGTATATGTCACGGACCGTATATGTCACGGACCGAATATGTCACGGACCAAATAAGTCACGGACCGAATATGTCACGGACCGTATATGTCACGGACCGTATATGTCACGGACCGAATATGTCACGGACCGTATATGTCACGGACCGAATATGTCACGGACCGTATATGTCACGGACCGAATATGTCACGGACCGTATATGTCACGGACCGTATATGTCACGGATCTAATGTGTCAAACGACATAAGTTATACATTATTAACTGTATTATAACAAAGTAGAAGTTAAACATAATCATTTTTATCACATACCATCATACATAGTGTAAAAATGCGCGAAATGTTAGCGTCAAACTGTAGTTTAGTTCAAACATAGTTTATTTCAAACAATGATACATGTACATCATGTTGTTAATACATTTACAATAATTAGATACACGAATGAAAAAGGATTAGAGCCGAAAGCTATAAAGCTTATAAAGGTCTTCTCCTACATATTTGCATAATGCAGTTAAATTATGACAGTGTTTGCAATATTGTTTGAAACAATGAAGTTAAATTTTAACATATTTGAAACGAAAAAAATATCGAAGATTTTAGCTATTTTTCAAAAGATATAAATAATTGAAAATAATTAGAAGAAGGTAAAGAAGATTCATTCGGATAGGTCAAGTTGGCAAATCATTTTGTGAATCTAAGCTCATGAAAATCGGTTACTTTCACGTACATATAGATGAACTGCTTGAACAATTTTAGAATTAATGTCATGGCTAAGATTCTGGTCTCCGTTTAGTAAGGTATGAAGTGTTATAGTACAGATGTTAAAAACAGCATCAAATAATCTGAGTCGGATATCATTGACACTCAAAGAAGAAGTGGTGGTTACCAACCAGGAGTCCACATTGACAATTTGGTAAGGGGGGGCATATTTTTTCTGAATAAGTGAAGGTTTAAAGAGCTACATTCTGTTCGGAGCCGTGTGTGCATGACTTGCCATTTTCTTTCACCTATGTAATAGTATTTGGGACATTTTTATATCACATTAAAGTTTCGTTTTGAAAGAGGACAAAGATATTGAGTTTTGTACCTCTGTTGATAGTAAGTTCCAATCTCTCAAAGTAGATGGCAGAAATACATTATGGTAAAGAGAAGTTCTTGTACGTATTGTTTGCATGTCAGAAGCATTTCGTAAATTGTACCTAGACGTTTCTCCAACTGATGGTGGAACTAAGGACGATAAATAATCTGGTGTGAGACCGTTTTCCATTTTGTAAAAACAAAATAAGTTTGTGATTCTGTCAACGGCTTTCGAGGGATTCCCAAAGTACTTCTCTTTGAAGTTCCTGAAGACACGTCATTGAAAAATGATTCTTTTTCACTTAAACACTCTATTTTGGAAATGTGATAAGTAGAATATTATGTTCGTGAATTTTCAATACTGAATTTATTGAACTCGTTGAATAAAATAATATTATGCTCGACAAAGGCTCGCATAATATAACTTTATTCAACTTGTTCAATAAATTCAGTATTGAATTTACACTAATTAAGTATCCTCCATGTACAGTTTAACATGATAGAGTAGCCGCGTCCTTTACCAAAAAAAAAAAATGCGTCATTTAAGCGCATTTAATTAATGAACCGCGTTAAAATATGACAACAATTCGGCGTATTAAAAAATGAAACTGCATGCTCTTAGGAAGATGTAATTTTGCATTTCTGAATGAAGTTGGAAATCAATACGCTATGTAAGAAAATAGTTACACATGAAATGACATTAATTTCCATGAAACATTGATTTATTTGAGGTAAAAAAAAATAAAATTTGAAAGAATATGGTAAAATATTCGAGAAAAAATATCTGACACGTGTCGGCAAGCAATGGACAGGTCCCCTTGGGGCAAATATTCCAATCCGAACCGCAACAATTGCGGCGTTCAGTTTAATAATCTACTTACGATAAAATTTAGGTTGTCAGAAATGGATTATAGTTCTTACGGTCTTACCTGTTAGACCAAGATTTTCTTTTCCATCGGGGTTGTCCTTCCCAAATTTTTCATTTCCGCCACAATCTGTAAACATTTATTTATTTATTTATTTATTTATTTATTTATTTATTTATTTATTTATTTATTTATTTATTTATTTATTTTATTTATTTATATAAATCGATTTACAGAACAAAATTAAATCACTTTTCTGGTTTTTTTCTTCATATTGAATTTCAGTCCTAGTAACTCGATTTTTCTATCAAACCATATTGTTAGTTCATTCGCTTCTAAAAAATAAATCACTTTTAAGAGCAGAGTGAAAATATCCTTACCTTGCGCTTTTGTTCCGATAACACAAAAGATAAAAATCCCAGTGAAAGTTTTCAAGACAGTAAATGCAATCATTTTTTTGTAAACAAAACTGTCTCTCGTTAAGTTGATGTAACGTCTGGTTACCAGCTTGTAGTATATACTTTTTATACTAAACGATAGGATTTAAAGCAACCCAATTACATTGAAACCTAACCTTTAAAAAATTAGCCGCGTCATTACAAAACCAACATTATGCGTTTGCGACCAGCATGGATCCAGACCAGCCTGCGCATCCGCGCAGTCTGATCATGATCTATGCTGTTCGCTTACAAACCCTATAACAAATAGAGAAACTGATAGCGAACAGCATGGATCCTGATCAGACTGCGCGGATGCATGGTGGTCGCAAACCCACTATGTTGGTTTTGTCATGTCGCGGCTCATTAATAAATTAAAATATACTATTAATTTATGTTTGTTAGAAGTTTCATCACATGTATTAAAAACTGAACAGAGTACGAAGTCGTGATAATATAAAAATTCAAGGTTACAGCATAGATAACATGTATGATATGTGCCATTTTAATAAGATAATGAATTTTATTTTTTTAGAGTGAAGCATAACGAAATATCTTTTTATCATTTGCGTTATTGAATATATAAAACCTACAGAAGAAGTAAAAAAAAACAATAACAGCAATAAAACTCAATACTAGTCAGTATTAATATATTTCATGACTGTAAACATAATCAGATTTACTGATATACTTCGATATATTACCCTTGACTACATGAACATGATCACATCGTGTATTCCCCGTGAGACATTTCTTATATCACCCTGGGCTACATGAATATGATCTCGTCGGGTATTCCCCGTGAAACATTTCTTATATTACCCTTGGCTACATGAATATGATCACATCGTGTATTCCCCGTGAGACATTTCTTATATCACCCTGGGCTACATGAATATGATCTCGTCGGGTATTCCCCGTGAAACATTTCTTATATTACCCTTGGCTACATGAATATGATCACATCGTGTATTCCCCGTGAGACATTTCTTATATCACCCTGGGCTACATGAATATGATCTTGTCGAGTATTCCCCGTGAAACATTTCTTATATTACCCTTGGCTACATGAATATGATCACATCGTGTATTCCCCGTGAGACATTTCTTATATCACCCTGGGCTACATGAATATGATCTCGTGAATCATTTCTTATATTACCCTTGGCTACATGAATATGATCACATCGTGTATTCCCCGTGAAACATTTCTTATATCATCCTTTGTTACATGACTGATCAAATCGTGTATTCCCCGTGAAACATTTCTTATATCACCCTTGCTTACATGAATATTATCACATCGTGTATTCCTGTGAGACATTTCTTATATCACCATTGGTTACATGAATATGATCTCATCGAGAATTCCCCGTGAGATATTTCTTATATCACCATTTCTATGCTATTTTTCGGTATAATATGATAAATAACACATAGATGTTGAAATGACAGTGGAAAGTGCCCTCGGCTGTGTCTCAGGACTAATATACAAGTTTTCTAGTCGTAACACGGCAGCCACGTGCCATCTACATGTATGTAGTATTCGACATATACACTGATATATTGCATACTGTCAATGTGATTGTAATAACGGCATCATCATTTATATTTTGATAATTGTTAAAGTAAAATCAACTTTTTCATATCAATATATGAAAGTGTTCCTTTAATTAAAAGGCTATAAACAGATCAATATTTTACAATATTTTTCTTCATTTCTTCATTTTTTAATCCGTATTAATACATATAAAAATGCTAATCAGTATACAGTTCAGAATATTGATAGGTAAACAGACTCCAACAGGGTGACGAGCGTAAATAAAAACTGAATTTTATAAGTAAAAGTTTAATCTCCATCTGAATGAGTTTTATATGATACGCTAATATTCCGTTTAAATTGAAATCAATAAATTCTTTGAAAGAAAAAAAATGAACACAATCTTTCTGATTATATTTGAATCTGATATTTTCAACCCGAAACTTAAAAAGGATTGGCATGTTTTTGCCAAATTACTTACGTCAAAACCTAAAAAGTTGCCTTGATGTGAACGACCGAAGAAACGACCTTTCAAGCTAAAAGTAGAGGAAAATATTACATCTGATCACATATGCAACAGGCCATATTTTTTGTGTGAACATGTGGGACATACAAAATTAATGATCTTTAAAGATCCGTTAATAAGACCCGAAAGAATTTTAGAGGAGCAAAAGAAATCTAGAAAATCATTGCCTAATTTGAGCTTGATTCATGTCACTAGACGCACATTTCAGCTATATCCGGTCAATGTGGAATGTTATAATATTTAGTTAATTGTATATTTATGTTTCTATGAAACAAAAAAACAAAAAAAAACAAAAAACAAAAAAAAACAAAAAACAAAAACAAACAAAAACAAACAAAAACAAAAATAAATTAAAAAGTAATATAATCGAATCCGGCTAAAAACGATCAAAATAAAGCCCATCATTTCCCGGCGTCTACCGTACTCTTCTTGTGACGTTTCGGTAGACAACGGAAGAAATGCAGAAATACGCAGACAAAAGTGACGTTGTAACTATGCAACGTCAATGAATGAAGTTGTACTCCTGTTTCTGTGTCTATAATGTAGTGTATCATTAAATTATGTCTTCAACCATATAGAGAAACTGCAACATGACTTCTATAGACCATAAAAGGTGAGATAAAATATTTATCACTAAAATTAACCCATTATGTATGTATGAAAAGTCTAGATAAATACCATTTACGTAGCAAATTCAAATATGTAGGCTATAGAGGTTTTTTACAAGCTTGAAAGTACATTTCACACTGTATAAAATCCATATTTAGCCAAACGTTTCTTTTTCTTTCGGAGATTTCAAAAAGATACATATACGTACAATTATTATCATTATTATTAGAGCTCTTTTATTATTATTGTTATTAATATTATTATTTTAATTATTATTATTATTATTATTATTGCTTTTATTGACATTGCTATTATTGCAATTATTATTTCTTATTTAAAGGTCATTACAGTTAGAATTAGGAAGTGTATCTAGATCTACCAGTACAGATACTTTGGCGCCTAGCAGCGATACAGATGATGATTTGGAACAATCGCAACTTCTACACAAGCCAATCCCACCTGCTTGCGAGAAGCCTGAGCTACCTAGACCGTTTCAAGGTCACTCGTCTAGTTCAAAAGATAAAGACACAAGAGCACAGGGGTCCGTAACTGAACACAATTTAACAACCTTAAATCATAACGGAGGTAAGACTTGTAATAATATTATAGTTAATCAAGTATTTATTCTTTCATTGATACCATATAAGGTTTAAAGCGTATAATATATTCATGATAACAACAAATTTGTTAATGAGAAGATATCAATATCATGTAGAAATTGATTAATTCAGAAGTTTTGTATTTAAAGAATAATTAATTTTTGACATATAACTTCATGTCATCGCCCAATATCTTTTATAATAATATATTCAAACTACTCGTTCATGAAAAAAAGAACTGAATTAACCGTTTCACATTTGTATTTCCCTTTTATCACTCTTTGTTAAGAGAATTTAAAGAAATATACTTCCTATTAGGCATATTAACTTTTAAGTCAATGATTAAAAATCCCATATATCAAAGTTTGAACCGTTTTCTTAATATTTTGATTTTTGCATGTTTTGCATAATTTATTCGTAAATATAAGTAAATATTTCATTATTCAATCAATGGCATTCGTTTAAGTGCAACAATAAGGAAGCGCAAAGGGGACATGGTGATTTTCATATAATTAGTTTAATAATTTTTATTTTTATTTTTTTTTTGTATTTTTGTACATGATATATTATCATTACCTTTGGCATTATATCAATACACAAACAAAAGCGTTGGATGTGGACCGCGAGATAACAACTTAGAAAAATATATTTAAAAAAATGCCAACTCGTTGCTAGATAGATAATACCAAAAACAAGACCAAAAAAAAACACCACATTTAGTCGCTGCCACTAAAAAAATCACACATATTTCATTTTTATTTATTATTGTTATCATTATGATTATTTCAACTGAAGTTAATGACGCGAATTAAAGACGAATTTAAACGTTCAATGCTAAAATTCCTTTAGACTTGATTTTTTTATATATTTTTTTAAAAAGTCTAACAGCAAAAAAAAAACAAAACGCTGTTCAAAAAAACACAAGACTTAATTGATTTTTTTTCATGATGCCATAAGTTTAAAAGTCTATGCGCCGTTCATTTTTATTGATATATATTTGAAGTACATAGGTACTGGACTTTGACATGTTCATGTACATGCAGGTTAGATTCTTAATAATTGATTTACACACAGCAAAGTTATTGCTACGGTCCTGAGACTTGTGGTCACATTAATTTCGTATTAACCCCGAATCCAAATCCGCTTTGCGTTTTTTACAACAGTTTTGAGCACGTGAAATGGGTCTTTTTTGCTTTGGCGTCATTATTTGAGAAAATATCAAAATAATGGCTTGCATGATAATCTTTAGAATCCTCTATCCTTAATTTGCCGTGATGCATACAATCACCCCCCCCCCCCACACACACACGCACACGCACACCAACACACGCACACACACAGACGCACACACACAAACAAAAACAAGCACAAAAAACGAGATTTACAATGAATACACATATGATATTCAAAGCTTGATTTTGCGAGTTATATACAAACAGTAATAATCGTAATAGTAAATATATTGTTGCTATAGAAATGGCCGAACACACATGGTACCCGAACGAACTGAAGACAAAGGCTGATGAATCATGCTTCAACATGGGCTTACTACTAGACTTGGTAACCAGGTATAAGTAACCTCATATCTAAATCAACACTTGAATACACTGAACAAAACTTACATACTGTATATTCACTGCATTCTTTGAGTATTTTGGTTCCATCGGGCCTTTCTAAAAAGACCATTGCAATGTAACCAAATGTTCAATGATAAATACAAGTTCGAAAACAGATAAGTTGCATATTGTTCTCCTGTTGAACTTAAGCAATAGGTGACGTACTTGCGATGCTTATGATAAAATGGCTACATATGAATTTATTAGATGAAGAGTTTTATTGTTTAAATCTTCCATTTTACAAAACATGTAATTCAGATTATATAGCTACAATTTGCCTAAGAAAAAAATAAGTATTTTTACTTCTTTAGGAAGGACAAACATGTTTTTACAATAATTAAGTAATGTTTTAAAGAACGTTTTATGCTTGTTGTCTGAAGATGTGAAATAATTTGTCATGAAAGTAGCAAACTGTAAACAAAGTGGTATTTGACTTCCATACAAAACACTTATTCACGACATGTACTTATTGTCAAATTGCAACAGACTAAAGAGATATTAAGAGATGGTTCAGGTAATTGTTCAACGAGTAACTTTTCGCACACTATAAAAATACACCAAAATTGAAAAGCTTTTGAGAAATAAAAATGATAACGTTTCATAGGCATAATGGGTTTATAAATCCATGTATACGTCTTTCTGTATCAATCCTTCTTTTGACAATAATTCAGATAATTAAAAAGTGTATATATCATTCTGAAAAACAGGGCAGAAGATCTAGACAAGTTGTTGTTGGCCGAGCCTTCTGTCACTGGAAATACGATTGCTTTCACCAATCAATGCGTCTCGATACCAAGTAGCAGTCAAAGTCAACTCTCCTCTGTGTATAGTAACGTTGATGCAGAGAAGGTTCGCAAGAAAAAGAAAAAGAAGGAAAGAGAAAGTAAGAAAAGCGAAAAAGCAGAGAAGGCAGAACAGAAACAACTTGAAGAAGAAAGAATGATGAAAGAAATATCAAGAAACAGGTCCATGTTTAACCGAAATAAAAGCACGTTGCCAGCAATCGGCATGAAGTGTGAGGAGGTAAATTAACATATTGTTGTTTAATATTGTTATTGTTTAAAAATCATATTATCTACTATTATCTACAATTCTCACTAATGGCGCTTTAAAAAAGTTACAATAATTACCACCGAACCTTATGATAAACGATACATCTTTACAATAAAGTTTCTTCTCATTTTATTATTTCGAAATGATGAAGTCTCATTTTAAACTAATTTGTTGTTAATCAGTTACCAGTAAAATTTGACAATTTACGTATCAAAGAGACTTATTTCAAACTGATTATAAGAGTTATAATTAAGGTATCATTATATTACAACAGGCAAACACTTACAATGACAAATTACCAGAAGTTGAAACACATGAGTTTACAAAGGATGATTTGCGAGACAATAACATAATTGACGTAATTAGAAAACATGAGACAAGAGTCAGGGAAGCAACTCATTTGAGGGAAATTAGTCAAAACTTTATCATTGCAAGCGCTGGTGTGATGGAACCAAAGTACCAGAACGAGGTCATTGACATTATCGAAAAGCATGAATACGAAAATTCTAGAATTTATGGCAGGTTACATGGGAATTACACAATCGGAGGTCAGAGAGCTGCAAGAGATTGTGAACCAACGTCTGCACGATCTACATGCTCATTGCCAGCGTCGAGACGCGGAGCAGCTTAAATCATTTTATTATTTTATTCAAATGCTAGTTCATTGTTTTTTGTTCGTCCATTTATTTCTGATTGTTAAAACACTGATAACAATGAGGGTAAACAGTGTAATACTTAACGAGTGCTTTAACAATAAAATGTTAAAGTTATTCAGTATATTTATTTATTATTATAGGGCTGTCCAACAAATTGTGAAAACGACTGTAAAACAAAAATACATCGTCCAAACCTAAAATAAATGTTACATAAAAATACAAATGTGTGTTAGAGGGACTTATTTTAATTCATTACAAAAACATCATTAAATAAGTTCAAAATGATGTGTGCTCAAATGGCTGGCAAAGGTATAGAAACTATCGCAAGTATAGTCTTTTTGTATGTAACCTAGGTAAAGCTGCACAAACTTAAAAGATAAAAAGTGTCATTTCCATTGTTTTCGAATCAGAAGAAATATGCATCGTTCTGCCAACTGTGGTCTGAAAAATAAATCAAAGTAAACATGTTGTTGTTTATCTTCTGTACTTGAGAATTACAAAGATTGCTTGATAAAACGAAAGTCTTATATGATATTTCATATGTCTTTTTACAACGCGCTCTGTTACTATGCAGAATCAAATAAATCAAATCATTTTCACGCGCATGTGTAATCTGCGTAAGGTTAACATAAAATTTTGTTGAATAAGATCTTTTTTTAGGAAAAAACTTTCATTGTATTGTTACAAAGTGCTTTAAAAGAAAAAAATACTATAATTGAAATACTATAAATTCCCCACCGTCGCAGAAATATCAAAATAAATCTTTTATTATAAACGAGTTATTCACTATTAAATTAATAACCGAAATAAATTCTAAGTTTAAGAAAACGTATGATCAACCATATTATGGTAAGGAGAAACTACAAAATGTCAGTCTAAAAAGATCAAAACATTTCATAATGCACGGTATGTAATCGTTTCGAGTGATTTGGAATATTTTCCCATGCCTGCACTGATTTGGATGTTTGGCACCGGATTGATAAAGATGAAATGGATTTTGAGCTTGACGAGGTAAGAGAATATAAAAGATAAACATATTTACATCTGTTAGTCTTCGAATAATAATTACTTGCACGGAACATTGCAATGTTTAACGAATTCATATACAACTTAATTAGGTTTGTTAACGGTCTTTTATCAGTTGGAATCGAAAAACAAATTTCACATATCAGTAAAGTGGTAGTAAACACTAGCATAAAAGTACCAAAAAAGTCATTATCTTCGAATTTTCAGGTATTTCATGATCATACCATAGAAAAAAAAATCATTTTTCGATAATTTAGTGTGTTTAGTAAAATGTTTTGTGCAGTAATGAATTTGTAGAACGTATTTTTATAACAACCGAGTAATTTTTTAGGGCATTGGATTGATTCATGGCAACAGGCTGAATGTAGGCTTGAAGCTCACTGCAAGTCTTAATAAATCACCAAATTCTTATGTTGAGCAAAGGCGCTTCACTAAAATTTATCAATTTGTATTTACATAATTAAAAGAATAATACGTCTTAAATCTTCTTAACAACTTCAAATGACAGTAGGCTAAGTCAAAGCAACATCAACTAAATCTAAATCAAGAATTTGAAAATATTAAATTTGTAGGAAAAAAAAAGATTTTATACGTACGGCTCTGTGGGGCTTTCCTGACTGAAATAAAAGTAAATGTTTACTACAACCTTGATCATTAGCATGATGATTATTGATTGAACATTTTACACCTAGTTTTTATTCAGTTTAATGTTAAAACCGAAACTATATAATTTATTCAAATCAGTATGCCAGCCTGCAACACTCACGTAGTCTGACCAGGCTCTATGTTGTCGTCTGACCAACTTCCAGACATTCAACTTGTACATATATATCCTAAAAATTAACTGTTTAGATTCCAACGAAAACGGAAACGTCAAGCAAATACCAACAACATGAAAATGTCAGCTTATACCAAATCATGGTAATAGCGAGCTCGAAGAGGCCCGAAAGGCCTGCTCGCAAAGCAAGAACCTGTTAGATAGTGATGGTTTTGAAACCTTTCGTCGGAAGTACTGAATTGACACATCGCAACTTTTCGAATTACAAGATAACGATAAAAGCCGAGAAATTCTGATTGAAAACGGATGCGTAGACTGGTGCTCTGCGCACTTTGATAGGATCCATTATAGGACAGAGAACCAGAATAAACGGAAGCAGAGTATACAGAGTATAAAATACCGAATGACAGTTTTAAAACGGAAAAAGTAAAATAAAAATGAACGATTTTTTATACCATTTCACGGTAAAAGTAAATAGAGCTCGCTTTGAGGCTTTGCCTATTACATAATTATTATAAAATCTACAAAGTAACGATGGTGATGAAAATGGGCTTATTTGGATAAAAACAATCTCGTGTCAATGAAAAACAAAATATTTTAACTAACATTTTTCGAGGTTAAGGCATTTAAATTTATTGGTAAAAAAACCAAGGAATTTCGTAAATTAACCAAAATTAATAAGGTGAACCACATTTTTCATTTTAGTTTTAATGAAGTATTCATCAATTTTCTCCATTGCGATGTTTGTAAAGTACATGCATTTGTTGATAATGGTACTGGCATTTTTTATCAATTTCCTTTTTATGTTGATATAATTTATCATCACTTAATGAGTACTTTGCAGGATGAGATAATATCAAAGTTTAATCATTCAAGATTAAACTCTTTTATTTTACATGAATGACACATTTTTTAATTTATCGATCAATAGAACTGCGTATCAATACGCATGCCTAGTCTTAGAGCTATATTTAGAACACTATATATAAGGAGCAGCGCGAGCCCGCTGCTTCCTTTTCGTTCTGGAACTCTATGAGAAAGGTAGCTGCTGATCATATTTTAAATTTTTTTGTAAAAACTTAAATTAGGTTTTAATTTCCCACCCTCCGCAACCCCTTTTTTTGCTGTGCTTTGTTTTACATTTCAGGAATCACTATATCACCCAACGCTTCGTCATGACTGGGACAAATGTTATATGCTGGGCGACGGAGTTCTTTAATTACAGCCAATTGCTAATTGAACAGACTTTAGTCAATTTCTTGATGCAACCGCTGTCGGTGCTCTTGCACCACTATGATATGATCCAAAGGACACTGAAAACTTTAGTGTGAAATATCGGACATACATAACACGTGTAACCGTTGTCGGTGCATATCAATTCTGTTAATTCTACAATATTTCATATTTGACTACTCCTCTCAGCTGAAATTTAACATAACGTTTTTCTATTTGCGACCGTTGTCGGAGCAAATATGATGTGTATATATAAAGTTCTAAAATTTGTTTTTATACCCAGTCATGATGGAAATTGTTCGCCAAAAGAAATAAAAATGTTATAACATAAATTGTTGTATTTTCTTCTCGTATAAGACTGATTTTCTATGTACAATGGCCTCTCGGGTTCGAACCAGCAACCTTATTCCAGAACTCTCTTTATTATGCATTCATTGGAAAATAATATATACATATATTCGGTTATGTGACTAAGGAACCTTACCACTGATGAGTTTTGTCTTGTTATTTCTTCTTCTTGGGGTTGGTGAAGGTGGTGGCGAGGACTCTCTTCTGTTGTATGACCTCCAGTTAAATCTTAAATGTTAAAGAATTGTCATATGTTGTAGAAAAGATCAAAATTTGACCACAATGCGCAAAAAATGTATCAATTAAAATATGTATGCTTTTTTATTAAAAATCTATTATTATCAGAATTTTAATTAGTATCTGAATTTTGTTTTATATGTAAAAGGCGTGGAAAGGTGGAAAGGGGATGGGGTCAAATAAAACTTTTGATTTTTGTAAATGCTTGTATACCTTGCAAGTTACAAGACAGCTAATTAGTATATGTTGTGCCCGCCTTTCTACAGATCAACGAAAGTGTTCTATACCACATGAACGTAACGATGAGAATAGCGTCCAATTTTTTATCCTCGTATTGCGTATTTGTGCTTTTAAACTGCATTTCTAATTCTAACTTTCTTCTAGTGTACATAGAAATTTAGTTTTTATAAAAAAAACTTGAACAAACCTCCTTGTACTCGTTAAACATTGTAAATTGCAACATGACGTCATGAACACGTGATTTAAGCAAACGTATATGGTTACAACAGTAGTGATTGCTATCAACAGCATTAGAATACTGAACCATACAGGGTTTCTCTCGTCTTCCCAGAATGTTTTATATCTGAAAGTTACAAAAAGAGAATCAAGCTCGATATTTTCTTAAGTAGTGATGAATGTGAACACTTTAGGGCCAGATATAGCCAGAGATTTGTGATTTGCTTAAAATGTAAAGAAAACCATAATCAGGTGATTGGATGAAAATGTGATGTTTGCAAATATAAAACTTATTAAAGAAAATAACACTACATTGTTTTCTTCAAATGAATATAGCATTATTATGTATATATGACATATATAAATATATGACATATTACAACATTATTAGAATCATGATGTATGATACCTGTCAGTAAATATGTTTGTATCTGTGACAGTGATTTGTACTGTAGATGTTCCTACACGACCTCCGTCATCTGTGGCAAGAACCGTCAGAAAGAAAGTTTCATCATCGCATTTGCAAGCAGACATTGACTTTAATGTCTTTATCTCACCGGTCGAACCGTCAATCTAAATATGTATTTAAAGTTACGATATATTATCAAATAATATTTTAGAATTTAATTTAAACAAGTTAATGTGTGTATAGTTATTATGTCAACAGAATTAACAAGATTTGTTCTATCTTTGTTGGTGTATTTTTGAATTGGAGAATCAAATAGTCATCTATTTAACAGTTATATTTTACCTTTAATAAGGAACAGAAAATATATAATAGTTATAGATATTCATAAATTTGTATATTAAAGATTACTATTACACCATTTTCTCTATTGTCTGTCAAAATCATTTTAAAAATATAACTGACAATGATTTATGTTCTCTTTGCACTTTATATGGTGTCCGACCTGAGTGAAGCATATATTTTAATAAGGTTCCAAAGATAAAGGTATGGCATGGAAGGTAAAATATTTTTAAAATTACATTATATCACACCTTCCGAAAGGGATGTTTCAAAATTGCAGCTGGACAAGTCCATTTAAGAAATTCATCAGATTAAGAATTAATTACTTTGAAATATTGTTCTTCAACCCCATTAAAGACGAGGGAATAAGAAAACTCCATATAGGTAACAGCATCACTGTCTGTAGCTATCACTGTACCGACAGGTGTGTTTGACGGAGCAATTGGATCGACTGTAAAGTCGTAGATGTCAGTAGAAAACACTGGTGTGAAGTCATTCCCATAAACTGTAACAAAAACAAATCGTTTCAGTTAATACTACCACTTTCTTTCAAATCTGTCGAAAACCAATAAAACAGTGATTAGAAATTAAATTTAAAACTAAATTGGTTGAGATTTTGAACTACTTGAGACTTAGATCGATAAGGCTATCAAACTTTTCAAGAACTTTGAACTAACTTAACGTCTTCGGTGCTTTGCAATAGATTATTATATACATGAACTTTCTCAATTCGAGCACAAGAACATTTTATCATCATTTTCTATAATTAAAATTGTGTGCACGGGTCTGTCAGTGAATATAAGGTATAAGAGAAAAACCTATAGTTGGCCTTTCACTGGATATTCCTTTTTGATGTGGATTATACATAGAAACATTTGTGCATAATGACACTTAAATGCTGATTGATATGAAAGCTTCAATTTGTATAATTTGTTCTATTCTTTTCAAGTGAAAAAAGCAAACTGTTAAGATTGATAAAGATAAATGTAACCTACGGATGTTGATGACAAGTGTAGCGGTATCAGTATATCCAAATTCATCTTCTACTGTAAATAAACACGTCACGGTTGTTGGCATACCTTCGTCTAATTTATACAACGACGCCACAGCTAATGCAGCAAATGTCTTGTTACATCCGGGATTTATATGGTAATACCTATTTGAGGATAAAAAGGGTTCTTGTTACACCTAGTATGTTTATCAAACTACCTATGGCTACTCATGCTAAACATGCATAAAAAATCCTCTGAACTGGATCAAATTAAGAATCAATTTTAGGATTAAGATCAATATTTTGAAGTCAAATGCCAATATCTTGTAATAAAATCACAATAAATTTATTTTAAAATTCATAAAAATGCCATTTCAAGTCCAATTTCATCAAGTGTGTATTAAATTTTTAATATAACAGGATAAACTATAGAGATTTGAGTGAGTTTCTTGATTCTAATCCTTAAATCTTGAATGTGCAATGCCTTGGTCTGACAGTGGCTTTAGCTGTGCATAAGAGATGTTTGTTAAATCGTAACCGCCGGTATTTTTTAGTAATCCGATAGCAACGATTTGAATATCAACTACATGCATCTGATATAAGATTAATAAAATTTGGATCCAATAGATAATGTTTAATACATATACCCATCATATGTGATACCACAGTCAATGGTGCAGATATATGTATCCCTTGTATCGACATCAATAATGAGAAATCCTGGGATAGGAAGAATTGTGTCTACAACCTTAAAACATACAAATCAATGGATAAAGGCAGATAAATAGTATAGAATACCAAAAACCATCAAATATTATCAAATATATTGAATAAATCAACATAAAGCAATAAATATTTGTTTTTACATTTCATAAGATTTAGAGTTCCTTCAAAGTTGTCTTTTAAAATGATTCAAATTGTTTGTTTACCTATAACGAAACGCATATTAATCTAAAACAAATTTACATAAATAGTGTCTAGTGACCGTTTTGCACAGTACAATGAGGGTTAATGTTTAACTAATTTCACTTACTGTCCATTCTAAAACATCCATTCTATATGTGGAGGAACTAAGACTAAGGTTTTCATTTTTGTCAACTATTGACAGCGTTAAGGTAGCGGTAGATGTATCCTGGCCGTCAGAAACAAGTACTTTAAACAGGAATGGTGGCGTGATCGGTAGATCCTCGTAGTCGATTAGTACAGATGTTGATATTAAACCACCTTGAAATATAAGAGATATTGATAAAGAGTTCATGTATGTATATACAATCATAATATCAATTCACCGCGGGCACCATTCATTTGGAATTTTCAATGTGACACGTTTGTGTCATTCCATGGAAAGCAGCGTATGACCCCTTTGAAAAGATAATATGTTTGCCCTTAACGAGAAAGCAGTGTCCGAACCTAATGAAAGGGAATTGTAACGAACCTAATGAAAGGGAATTGTAAATGGTTATCAAACTTTTCAGGTTATAAGGCACATTGCAAGGGATTTGACTCAGTCATATGACAACTTAATTAATCTACCTTAGCAAAAACATGAAAGTCAGTATATTATTACCATTATGTCCTTGACTTGTTTGGAGTTACAAAGATTCAAAACATTTACTTGTAGGGTTCAGATCAAAATACGAGGTGCCTCCATTTGGTTCCGACCAGGAGAACGTATAGGGATCTCCGTCATCGTCCTTGGCTAGAACTGTGAAAACACTTGTCCCAGCTGCAGTGCCCTCGTCTATTGTCTCAGTGTTATCCAAGTTTAGGAACACAGGTGGGATGTTTCTGTCTGTGAAATAACGCAGTGAGACAATTATATAAAAAATATATATATCAAACCTGAGCGACATAATAGTGAATGTGATCTCGCGTTGAAATTAGCGGAAAGGCGGAAGCACGAAAGGGTGACTGTCGTATTATGTTGTTTTCGACTGCACAAACAAAAATAAACTTGAACTTTTCACTTTATTATGCATGTGTTTGCCTTGTTTCTGTCGCGTCTTTGACATGAAATATTCGAAAATATCAAAAATGCATTTTTATGCATTTTCATGTTTTCAACTTTTCTCAAATAGAAAAAAAGATTCTCCATGTCTTTGTATGGAAGGATAAAAATGAGAAATGACTATCGCGGGAGCATTCCAAACTTTCGTGGGAAATGGTGAAACAACTTACATACGACGCACTCACTGTTTTGATTGTTAGGGCACGTAAGGGAAAATATCTTCTCGGTATAGTTTTATAAAATACTTGCCAGCCGACATCATATATAACTGCCCAATAATTTTAGGATTTTGTGTGCATTTTGGTAAAGCCCAATATGTCAAGATTAAATTAATATTATCTGATTAAATTTACACAGTTAAGTTGTTTGTAATCGATTACCAGTTATGCGAACAGACAAAGTTCTATTTATTCCAAAGTTCCTTTGGTCGGCAACTCCAATAAATATGTCATAGCCAGATTCAGGATACTGTGTGATATCATCTATTACCATAACTTCGCCAGCTGTACAATATAACAAGATTCTCATTGTTGATATGTTCAATATTCATTATTATAACGGTATAAGCTATACAGTCATATTGCATGTTAATGTCCGTGTTGCGTTTACCAGTTCAATTAAGGCAGCACACCACACTAAATGAAGCCGCAGCTTCGAATGGCCAGGGAGGATTTCATGGATATAGTGACTATTGTGGATTTAAATGACTGGTTGTCTTTAAAATGCACTTTCAGCATGAAATTTGTTTTTGTGACATGTAATATGATCATTGGCAAATTCGAAAACATGGTTAGAAATCACATGCTGATAATTATTGATGTCAAGGTCGCCATTTTTTGTAAACATTGCTTTTAAACAGCATGCTCGGTGAAAACAAGTAATTTTACAGGGGGGTACAAACTTTCAGCAATAGCAAAAAATCTACAAGGCCAAGCACCTATTTCTTTGTGATATTTTGCATGCATAGGGAGTTGCTAAAGCAGTGACAGAGTTTTTGTAGACCGTATATTTGCAGGTATTTTTTGCCAGAGGGACGAAAAATGTTGTTTTGGGTCTCGGGCCACTATAGATTTTTGGCTTTTACGGAATGAATTGGAATTTTTTTTAACTGCTTGACTGTTGCACATTGGGATGATTTCATTACAGATTTGCAATGGTATGACATATATGTTCTTAACAAAATGTGTTTTCTTTTTCCAGGTTGTGTAGTTTAGGATCAGATTTATCAGACATATTGCTTGTAGGACATTGACGGCAGAAACTTGAAATTTAGTGTGGAGTGCTACCTTAATGGACATACTCAATGTTTACTAGTTACAGCGTAGACATAAATATCGTAGAACACGTGTTTACACAAGAATGTTTACTCGCAGGAGTTAAGAGATATCAAATAAAAATGTATCAAAAGGTTTTATTCAACGGTAAAACTAGATATTATTTTGAATACGACCTTTTACTACGTAATGTTACATTTATAATGTCTCTTTGATAGGATACGGACGTCTGGTGTCGTGTTCAGGTCGTTTACTTCAAACCAGTTGTCCCTCATAACTGTGGGCTCGAATCCCGCCAGAGACTTTCGATTATTTCATGCGGGGAAGCTATCATCCACCTAGCTTACGTAACGTAGGTGGTGGCCACGTTTATTGCCCGGAATGGCTAACCCAAGATCTTCATCAACCAGTAAAGCTTGAAAGTCGCCATATGATCTTTACTATGTTGGTGCGGCATAGAAACAAACAACCACCAAAACAAATTCTTTTGGCACTTATATCAAATTATAATATCATTTTAGTTTCCACTAGATTAAACAGAAAATAAGAAGATCGACTTACAATCAAGCACATAGAATGGACAATTTGCAGGGATACATGTAAAAGCAACGTCTACTGTGTCATCATTGTCATCGTGGAAATCAACAGTAAATACTATAGTTCCATTCGGTGCCAGTGCACTGACATCTTCTAATAAACCGTCAGCTAAAACATAGCATATGTACCCTATCTAATTGCATTATATGTAGAATTATTTTAATGTATTTTTTAGTGTGTACGTAAAATATATTAGAGACACAAACCACAAGTGGTGTTGTTTGCAGCACATAAGTCCCTATAAGTTCCGTATCGACAGTTAATTTTTCATTCAATAAACACAATACCAACATAGCGTAACTCTTTAGAACCACGGGTGCTTGAAACAAACTTTTTTAAAGTTTTATATGGGCTATATTCTTGATATACATATATTAACCGATTATGTAAAATATATGATAATGTGACTAGCGCCTGTGTTTAGAACATTGTATTTTATTTCTTATACATGTATTGAAGTTCAATCTATGTTTTGAATAGAAAAAATCAAAATAAAATTGTATATTCTTGCCAAATGCAACCCATAGTGACTAATATGATGAACGAGTGTATATCTGGATATACCTGGAATATTGTCAATAACTGGAGGTGTGTTCTGTATTAGATTAACGATCACAGTAGCAGTAGTTATATCAACATCATCTGTACATGTGACAGTTAAAGTGTAATCCCTCTGTGTGTAGTAGTCAAACTGACCTTTTGTTTTGTCCAGTTGTGATCTGGCGTACAATCCATATTCTGAAATAGTCATTTACATGAAGGTTTTTACTAGAAAACAACGGTCATGTAAAACTATCAATATGCATTTTTTTATTAAATCGTCATTTGACGACGATATTATTGTTACAACACAATTGTTACAGCTGATAAATAAATCTTAATATAATTCATTGATAGTTGAATGGAATAATCAGTTAAATGATAACAATTATTTCCCCTCTGTTTTACAACTAGCCTTAATATTACAAGAGAACTCATAAATTAATGGCTATGAACAATTCTTGATCAATCTTAGAGAGCGATATTTTCCACTGTATCGTGTTCATCGACCTCACTAACAGCTGACCATTGTAATTTTTTTATTTCATTTTAACCATCAAATTTTATATTAATATGACGCAACCTACCATTAGCAACTCCAGTGGGTTTAGCGTAGAAATAAGAAGGATTGTGTGCTGGGGATGCAGACACTGACACGTCTAATGTTGAACTGTCTGTACATGTAAACTTAGTAAGTTCTCGTTCAAATATGACATCTTCTAGCGTGTCAATAGACGACACAAGCCCTGTCAACACCGGCGGCTGGAAGACAATTAGTTAAAACATTGCTTAAATTATTGGCTTACAAAATGTTAAAAAGAATATAAGAATAAAAGAATTTTACGTACAAGTATTTTTATTTTATTAAAAATTATGGTTTTAATCAATGGTGTTTGAATTCTCACAAAGTCAGGTGTAAAATGCCGCGAAAAAAGATCCATCTGAAGCATTAAATAGATAAATACAGAATCCCTAAAGAAAGCCCAACACGGCAATATTGAAAATGATGCAGGCTCGGTTTGTTTGAGCCTGTTCATGGACGGTACTGGAAAGTGCAAGTTACCGTCCACGCCCCCTAGCACCGGCTTAAGCAGAATTCAACATTTAAACATGAAATAGTAAATTTTTGAATTTAGAAACATCCGCAGATGTGTTCATACGGCGGTTATTATGGAACCTTCAATGTGACACTTCCGTGCCATCCCATGAAAAGGGGCGTATGGTCCCCAAGTATTAAAAAGCGTGTGCCTTAAACGATAAAACAATGGGCGGAACTAAATAAAATGGAATTTTGAAAGGGGATCAGGTGAAGCCTGCGTATCACAGATAAGACGTCAAAAGACAAATTTAAAAAGCAGGTAACATATCCTAAGGTTGATTATACAGTATTCAAGTAGGAATATTGGAACCACCCAACTAGAAAATGCCGTAAAGTTGAAACTAAAAATACAACAGGCACAAAAATAATGTCGTGCTTAACGATCTTCAAGGATCGAAAATATAACATCATTGATTAAATGTACGGGGAGACTTTTTACAGCCGCCTTAAAAACAGCAAAATGACATAAAAGTGCAGACCCGGTTTAATTGAGTCGGTACATGAGGGATATTGAAAAAATGCAAGAGGTGTTGTATTTTCCATCTATTTCAGAACGGTTACTTACTCTCATACAAGATAATACAGGTAAAGAATCAAACTTTTTATGTAACTGTTTTGTAATATATAATGATAGGGTATAGCATAAATAATAAGTCATAGACTATTACGTTAGAGGATCATCCAAACTTATGAAAACATACGACTTGAATCGTTTATGAACAAGATGGTGTAATGCTGTCCTCTATTTCAATTCAATTATGTTGTCGTATTGTATTGAGCAGTGTACAATCTATATAAAACTCTCACAGTCATCTGGGAAGAACGATCAATTTTTCTTAGGTTTTAAAGCTTATGATGAAGCCCATGTCGAGCAGGGATCCAGTGTAAAAATTTAAGCGCCACATTGACCCTTTGTGCAAAAGGAAGTTTGTTATATCCGTTTGCCCGTCCCTTTTGCGTGGATTGAGACCGGGGTTTAAAATGATTGCCACAAAATGCAATCATGGTAAAAGTAATATATGAATAAGTAGAAAATGATGTGTACCGTATTTATAATGCTTATAACTATATCCTGTGAAACTTTATGTCCACAAAGGTCTTCAGCCGTGACAGTTAATGTTTCAGTCTTTCCAGACAAAGGTATAAGTGAACTTTTTACTTTTATTGTTGCTGAAATAAAAAGTGACATTTTTAACGTTTATATTTTCAACTTAGGTAGAAAAAAATCTTTGGTGATTCGATAGGATTATTGAAATTAAATAAAAAAGATATTAATTTTAGCTGTCAAACTTGAAACTACTAAATAAAAAGTCACCTTAAAAAAGAACCCATTAGAAATACATAATTTTATGCAAAACCTCAAGACATAAAATCGTGATAAACTGTTTAAATATACTGCTTTATTTAAAACATTTGAAACGATTAAATTCGTGTATTCATCACTCCGTTGATATTTTATAACTCTTAAGAAATTACAATATTTTAAAGCACTTTATTCATTTCATCTTATAATCATATTCAGTGCAATTTCTTTCAACCATTTCTGACGTCTTATATTAAATATGCAATGAAAAATTTTACCTTTTCTAACAGTTATATAAATGTTTTGCAAAGATCAATATATCAAGATTTAAGCTTTAAGAAGTAATGAATTGAGGTGTGTAATGAGCAGATTTTTTAGTAGAAAATCAATATACCGGTATTATCACCGTTATCAGACACGTCAAAATATGTGTTAGGTGTTGGCAAACTTATCGATATTATATCGAGATAATCGGTGTCTGTGAATGATACCGTTATTGTGACAATGTCATTTACACTCGCCGAGTCCTCTATTGTCCCAGTGGTCTGTCCGGTATACACAGGATTTGATGCTAAAAAATAAGTCAATATTAAATAATTTAAGAACAAATATGATCGAAATTAAAACTAAAACTTGTTAAGATACAAGTTAAATAACATTTGTACACTCTTTTGAATATAGGCCATCCCTTTCAAACTAGTGAAACGAATTTATATCAAAACCATAACGTTTATGTAGTATGGTTAACAAAAATGCCTAAATTTTGCGTTATCAATATGTGTTCTACTTTTGATTATCATAACTGTTCACAAAACATTTCCTGCTTATCATTAGAAACTCTTATTTTTATTTTTTTTTATTTTGCGACATGATAGTTTCTGCCTAGATACAACATAGATATCCCTGTTTGTATCATCGGGGTTTCTTGTATTATCTGGACATGCATAAAACAGATGAAATTGGCATCCGAAAACGTGTCTTCTTTGTAGCGCTGATATATACAAGGTCAACATTCAGACAAAAATGTGACAAAAACATGTAAAAATAATGTTTTATAAAAATATCAGTAAATCCAGAATTTCAACTCTTTTTTTAGTCATACTTAAGTTATTTTGCATAATAAAATACAAAAATTTCCATGATAATGTATCTTAAACACTTAATTTAGTGTGGCACTAATGAATTGTAGAATTAAATTATTACCAGTCTTCAGCAAAAAATGGATTTACCAGATAATACGATAAAGTACTTTGCACATCAGAGGTTGAGGGTCAGTATATTCAAATAGAAAAATCTTTGTACTTTTTTCAGATGTTCAAAATATCACTATCTAGAAATGTAATGTAAAGTTAATCTATGCCAGTTTAGGCCTTAGCCCCCGTGATAATACGAGAAAATAGTATATGAGCCGCGTCACGACAAAACCAACAGAGTGAGTTTGCGACCAGCATGCGTCCAGACCAGCCTGCGCCTCCGCGCAGTCTGATCAGGATCCATGCTGTTCGCTATCTGTTTCTCTATTTGTAATAGGATTTGTAAGCGAACAGCATGGATCCTGATCAGACTGCGCGGATGCACAGGCTGGTCTTTATCCATGCTGGTCGCAAACGCATTACGTTGGTTTTGTCGTGACGCGGCTCATATAGTATAACTTGGATAGAATACATGTGTTTATGATCCGATACAGATGTGTAAGTTTCAACGTCACCTTCAATTGTGTGCTTCATTCAAAAAAAATCAAATTTTATCACTTCACATGCCCACCACACCACAACCAACATGTTGTGATATATTAAGGTCGATGATCTTATCATATACAAATACTCATTAAAAAAAAACAACATTAATAAAACAGCATACGTTCACCAAGCCTTGCTCCTATCGCCCATTCTTGTGATACAGTCGTTCCGACCCATGTGACGTCACCTGCTGTGTTAACAGACGTTGCAGGTAAGTAAATCGCGTTTGCATCATTTCCACCGGTTTTATAACCAATGACATCAGCGGTTGAATACCTTTAAAATATCATACATATCACTCAATATGTTTCCAAGAAATAAAATTTTATGAAAAACTGTACTAACATACAGGTAATAGTTTCACGCAATCGTTTTACTGGAAAGATATCTAAACGTTTTATGAATTCATGTACATAGGTTTCCTCTCCGTTTTTTATGCTTTAGTTGCAGATTTACGTTTTGTATGAACATTTTTAACATTTAATTTCTCGGATCGAAAATTATTTTTGCAAACATTTTAACTTTAAAAACGATCAGAACTGTTTCGGTAAGGGTACCTTATATTCATGTGCACATTTGAAATTACAGGTTGTTGAAGAAAGTCATAGATGTTAAGAAAAAATGAAAGTCAATGTTTGCAAAGGAAGTACGAGCGAAGAAGAATCAATGGTTCTTTTGTAGGTCACTATCTGCAAAGGGAAGTCAATGGTTACTATGGAAATTATTGTTAGACATAAAATACAAAATGTATGCACGATATTCACAAGTTGCTAAGAAATTCAATGGGTACATTGGAATTCAATAGTTTTTAATTCAATTTCATCTTGAACAAACTTAAAAGCGGTCGTGTTACCAAATATCTAAGCTGTAACCCTAAGGTTCAGAGGGTTTATTCAAACGTTGTTCAAATATACATAAAAAAACCCAGGCCTCGTGTTGTTAGGCAAATTTTGATCCCAGAGCTTAAATTCGAATCAACTTGTAAGAAAAACATCAGATAGCGGTTCATGCCAAATATCTGAGCTCAGATCTTGTGGTTCAAGAGAAAAAAAGTTTTGATCAAAGGACTAATTTTTTAATAAACTTGGTAGAAACCTGCAATATCATGTTTCATGTCAGATATTTTTGCTCTAGGCGTTGCGCTTTCGGAGAAGATTTTTAAGACGACAATTTAATAATTCTTTTTGCCCTGTTTTAGCTTCTGTGACTAATATATGTTAAGAATAGAACCATTTGAACTAACACGATAAAGCATCTTGTCAGGAAATGTTTTGCCAGATTTCATCAAAATTGGCATTGTTAAAAGTGACATTTAAATGACGTGGACGTACTACAGAAACCAACGAGCCTAAAAGATCACGCTGTTACTTTGTGACAGGTGAACTAAAATGTTAATTGGGGAAGTCAATCGGAGGTAAATGCCTCATAAATTAAAAATATTGTAAAACAATTTATGAAATACATTATACATTCATGGTAATGACTAAAATTTCAATGCTTAAATTAATTAACACTTTATCAATTAGAGCTTTCATTGAAGCTTAGTTTTGGAGAGAAAAAAAACCGCGACTGTCTGCTATTAAAACATTTAATTTTGACCTAAAATAACTCATTTTGATAAAGATCAATTTCTAGTTATTCTTTAAAAATTGGTATGCACTGTATAATACACATCTATGTGAGGTTACCAGTTTATCTTATTTTAAACATTATGCTTTCTAATTGTCAGTTTATATTTTTTAAAGTAATTCTATGTTTTTTTCTATTTTTATTTATTCATTTGATATTTATTATTTGTTTTGTTTTTAATCATATTCAAAAATCGAGTTGGTTCTTTGCATAATCCCAACGGAAATTTATCAAACATTAAAAATTCAAAATTAACAACATCAATAGAATACCAACCATCCTAAACGGTCCCCTGGGAGTACCAATGGAAAATTAACTGGAGTCACCGTCTGTTTATTGTCTGTAAAATCAAATTGTGTAATTGATTAACTAGTAGGTATACAAAGAAAAACTTAAGTATTTAATATACTAGTATATGAAGGATAACTTTAAGGCATGACTTTACAGGAATTTAAATTAGGCAAACCATTACAACTTGTTGTCCTATTTGTCTCAGAAGTTGCATTAGGATAAAATTAATAAACCATATCTACTTTTTAAACATCTTATTTTGTTGACACAAATAAGTATTAAAAAGAGAAACCATGAAAGGAAAAATCTGTTTCGAAAAATTTTAATGTTTGTATCCAATATGAATTTTTCTAATTATGCTTGAAATACCATTGAACTTAATTTTTATGGAGGTGAACGAAATATTTATTCAAAACGGCCAAATAAAATAATGTGAGCTCGGCTGGTGAGCCATTTCAAGATTCGTTTAGCTTTTTGTTGTACCTTTATTAGCAGTATGCTTGGTCGTGCTTATTAGTCGGAAGTTATCTCCTGTGGTTGGTCGCCAAACGTGAAGCTCAACCTCTTCGTTCTCGACATCTGCGTCATAGTACCATGTGTCGAGTACACCACAACAATTGATCATGTACCCAGTGGCCAAGAAGTACGTGTCTGTCAATAGAAATGTCATAAATGTATGATATAAGTCACGTACATTGGCAATAGATACTCATTTAACATTCTCAATGTTTGAGTTTCTCTTAAACTGCCAAGATACACTACATTAATGTGTTTAATATATAAAATATTCTTTTTAGTATATAAAATATTGACATAATATTGACAATCCCATATGTGTAATTGGATGGTAACCTTTTGCATCTCCTTTATCTATACCAGAACTAACTGAAAGTAAGATAAAGAAAAAGGCCTTTAGATGAGAACAATGAGTCTTCAGAAAGACGTAATCATAGATTAAGGAATGTAGAAATATTCAGAAATTCGATGTCAGAAGATAATATAATCCAATACCCGTAACTATTTGAAAAAGAAAGTTTTTTGCACATAAGAAATCGATTTCTGTGGACAATATATATACTTCAAATAATTGTTTTACTCAACAAACATATAATGTTTATACATAAAGAATACACACATTTTTTAGGCGTGATGCTTTACGATAGGCAGCCTGACTTATAACGTAGGTATACATGTACTTTATTTTGGTTTGAACTTCTGTACTATCTGGCACATACATTAAAATAAATGCTGTATGCAACAAGAGGTTGACAAGGAATGTAGACAGTCATTTTTATTAGAAAAAGGTAGTTGAAGATGAAATGTATAAATAATTGTATTAAACTGAGACATTGAACATGAAGTAGTATTCTAGAACAACATAAATACCCATGCTTGCTCAGAAATAAATGTGTGCCATAAGTCTGTTAGTCCGTTAATATTGATCGAAATATTGTTATTAAAAGAGTGATTGATTTTAAGTTTAGGACATGATTTTACATAACACAGTACTGAGTTACTTGGGAACCTCTCGGAGCTGTAACTATTTTAATTTTTTGCGAATTGTACATTAACTTTGTTGACACTGAATGACTGTATTTGTAACGTTCAAGGGGAAGATAAGTATCTTGGAAAAGAAGAGGTTATCACGTTTCTATGCTTTTAACGAATATCAAGTGAAGAAATACACTTTAGTTTAACAAACCAAATGAATACTTAAAGACATTGTAGAGGTCTTATGTACAAACACGTGATACAGCCCTTCTATATATTTTATAAGCTTTCAGTTAAGAAAAACGTTTAGCAAATATAAGAGGATGATAGTTGACAAATATAGGAAGATGTAATGAAATGTATGTTGCAGCATTAAAGTCTGCCACTTTTTGCTTTAACAGTTGGTAATTATTAGGGACAACAACAAAACAATAACATACTTTAACTAATTTTATTTTATAGTCATACACAGTGGCATATGTAATTTATCTCACTGAGTAATGTCTTAGTTTATCTTTGGCATTTTATGGGCACGACTCCATTAATAAAAGCCAAAAGGTTTGGATACCGGGCATACAAAACCCTGTTAGGGCATCCATAGCAAAGCAAACAAATGACACAAAATCACAACAAGCAAATGGAACAAACTGTATAGCTTTTTGGAACAGTATGTTCTAGAAAATAATTGATCAAAGCAATACTAGTCTTTCAATTCTTCATTCACAAAATAGTCAATTTTCACAAATGTATATGAGGCAACAACACAGCATTGACACTGTTGCGCGAATTGGTTGCTCGGAAGCACCAGGTATTCGCCGTTACAAATGTCTATTTGCGGCCCGCAAAATGGCAATTTGCAGCCACATGTTTGAAATCTAGTATATGAAGTTCTGACAATCTCTGGAGGTCGAGTTTTGTGCGTTTCTTTTGTGTGTTTTGCAGCGTTTTTCCTAAGTACTTTCTATGGTATTTGTAGGGCTAGACTGTCTTGAAACACGTCGCTTATGTTAGGCTAATCTTGAAAATATCAAAGGCGAGACAACAAACGAAGCATGACACTAGTATTTAATTAAGCTAAATCTTTGGACTTCTTCACTCATATTGCGAGGAGGGCGGGTGGGTTTTTTAACACTATTTCTTCCCTGTTAATATTCGGCCGCGTTAAGGATATGACGTAGATACGTACCTTAGTCATACCGTGGGGTTTAAGGTTGTTTCCAATAACAGGTTTTTATGAATAGTTCTTCTTATTAGGGAACACACATATACTATTTAATAATTTTTTATAGTTACAGTGGCTTATGTAATTTATTTCTCACTGGTAATGTTCTTAGGTTTTCTTTGGCTTTTATGGCCGAAGTCCATTAAAGCAAAAGGTTTGGGTTTACGGGCATACAAACTGTTGGGCATCCATAGCAAGAGAACCAATGACCACCAAATCACAACAAGCAAATGGACACAAACTGTATAGCTTTTTGGACAGTATGTTCTAGAAATAATTGTCAAAGCAAAAAGATACTTAGTCTTTTCATTATTAATTCACAAAATAGTCAATTTTTCAAATGTATATGAGCAAACACGGCATTGCCTGTTGCGCGAATTGGTTTGGGAAGCAGAACGTTTGCAGTTCCCAATGTCTATTCGCGGCCGCGTAGACTTCGGTGGGTGAAGGGAGATTTCCGTTTTCCCGTCCGAGGCGTCGCCACATCCTTTGGCTTCGCATATTCTTTAGTTTGGCTCGGCGATTGTAGCGTAAAAAAAAATTAGTTCGTGCGCCATTCTATGATATTATACAACACTGCCTGTACGGTAATTCAACTTGGAAAATAGAGTATCAAATATGGATATCTAGCGCTTATAATTATTATGACACATCTAAGACCACAAAAATTGGAAGACTCCAGTTCGAGTCGTGCCATTTCTCTTTGAATGATTTAGCAAAGCATTCAAACTGCTCAAATAATGTTGCTAGTAAATTGTATTTTACATTTGACAGGATGTTTTGAGATATCAATTTAGCATAAGTTCACTGCTTCATATGTGTGATACTGTATACATAGGTGATTCATAATGCTTTAATTATGCTACACTTATTTATACCTTTTCTGAAATTAGTTAGTGTGTTCGGGCGCTGATCGCACAAACCTCCACCCCACATTTTAACGTGCAGTATTTTTCTTTGTAAACATGTTTTATATTTGTATTGATTTATAATTCAAATTACCTTGATTTTCCACAAAAAATAAAAATGATTATAAATATAATATTTGTAAGGTATGCACTTGGCTTGCACATTTTTAAGCACTATCTTATATAATTGACTCATACCCAACTTTTAACAATTTTTCAATATTTGGTTCTAAGGGTTGGAGGGCGCAAAGTGGGGCGAGGGTATCCCCGGGGGCGGCCACAACAACGCGCCGAAACATTTGCCCAGTACAATAGTGACATCCAAGATTGTGAGATCTGCATGATCTGAGAGCATATTTCATTGATTCATGCGGTTCGATCCTTCATTACCACTGTTTAATATGTTAATATAGTGTGTTTTCCATTGTTTTTTATCGCTGATGTACCTTAATCCCATGCGTAAGTAACAGGACCTTTTGCTCTTGTCGCGATGACAGGCGACACTTGTATTACTTTTATTTGCTTTAGCACCTATTTGTTCTTGAGAAATTGCATGCAATAATTAAGTGTTATGAATTGTCCTAATTTTTATTACCCCAATTTGTACTAGGTTGCAATTGACATAGGTTCTTTTCGAGCTTTAAATATTTTTAATTTGCAGATGTTCACAACCCATCCTGGTCAGGTCTGGCTGTCTTTCTTCACTGTTGTGAGCGTGTATTTAATAGGTTATCTATACTAATTACTTAATGAGCGTAAAAGATTTGAAACAATTAATAGATTTCATGGAACATATTTACTTTAACTAATATCTTTATTGCCCCAAATTACATTTCACAAATTCAGTAATGGTTTAAGCTTTTTGTTGGATTATTTTGCCAGTGTTTCCAGCATTACACAATTTCTTTCTGGTCATTTTGCCCAGTCCAGCTATTCTGTCAGTTAAGTTGTTTGTTCTGGGGTATTGGTTATTGTATTCAACAATTACTGAGTAGATAAATAACATTGTTTATAATTACACATGTATTTACTTTTTTTTTAATGAAAGCCACTTTTCATTATTATCTGTCAATACAGAGAATTTGGTGTGATTTTGTCAGCCAACATTTTGTTATCAATTAGTAGACTGCTGAAAAAATTGTTTATGGTGATTAGTTTTGACCAAGTGAACTTTAGAAATGCATTTTGTCTTTTAATTGATTGTAAGTTTGTTTTTTAGTGCCTTATTATGTTCTATTGTTAATAAAATCAGAGAATCACAAGTTTTAATTATGCAGATAAAAGGCATTAATTTTTGAGAACAAAAAATTATTAATATCAAGAGATTAGATGGAATCTTGAAGATGCTATAATTTTATTACAATTATAAATATTTGTAAATTTAATGCCACTATAGATTAAAACCAGTATCATTAAACAGTTCGTAATAGAAATTTTTGACTAATGGCTAATGACATCCAGAGTTTACATTTAATGAGTGAACAGTGAAGTCAATAGTTTATCTTGCATAATTCCTTTCATTTTAATGATTATGTACTTTCATTTATGAACGAATAATCATGCTCATGGAAATAACCCAAATTTTTCGATTATAGTTGGCCCGTTTTTTTTTTATGTACGTTATTTACCTTCAATTTGGTAATTAGTGTGGTCAATACCCTTTTGTTAGTCTTATTTGAAATTAAGTTCATTCGTAATTGACCCTGCAAATAGGCGATGTCTTTAAGTATACTGTTATTTTGAAATTTAAATTCGGGTGTGATTTTCCAATTAATATTGTTTTCACACCGAATTAAGTAAGGGACGATTTTAATACTTTTGAAATGATCAAACTCACTTCTCTATTGTTTAATAAAATTGATTCTTGCAATTACCAACAGTTGGGTCTTATACTAGCCAGAGGAAATTTTGATCTTGGAATGATTTTCCTTTGAAAAATTAAAGAAAGTTAACTTTGATGCTGATTTTGTGTAATTTTAAACAGTGTTAACATACTAGAAGGTGTTCTTTTTCTAGCTAGGGAATGATACTATTCGTTGTGGATTATAAAGATTAACGAGTGGGAAACTTTTAA